GCTTTAAAGCAAACGTCGAAAGCTTTTTTCAAGTTGGGGAATTCGTACTTGATGGTGTCGATAATACAATAACTTCTTGACAATTTTGCACGAGTTGTTCCAACACATAGAATGAAAGGTTGAAGTTTCTCTTTTTTTTTCATTTGATTTAATCGTCTCATTATGGCAGGATCAATGTCATTAGGTGACTACAATGCAAAATGATTTATTATTTGTTTTTTAATTTAATTTTTTATTAATTAAATTTAATTAAATTAAATAATTAAGATAATTAAATTAATTAAGCTGTCGGATCAAAGAAGGGCACATAACCAATGTAATTCAAATGGGTTATGTGCCCTTCTTTGATCCGGCAGCTCAATTGTTTGATTGTTTTTTTATTATGCTTTTTTACAAAAACATAAAAATTTTCCTAACATACTTTCACATGGAGAATAAAAGCTTCTTGAGATTCTATTTGCGTTGGACGGGGTGTAATCGACTGACTTTTTTTACCCCTTGACTTTGGCTGCTTAGGAAATAGGTAAGGCAGCAGTTGAAAAAGTAAATTATCTTTTTCATCTAAAAATATGTGATATTTAATAAAATGTAAAACTAGGAATCAGTATTATTCATACAAAGTGTAAAATATTCTAGTATACCGTTTGTAAATGACTTAAAGTTGTCAATAGTATCTTTTATTTCTGCAGAATGACATTCTAGTCCTATCAATTTTAGTAATGCTGCTTGTTTTAGGTTCCAATCAGAAGATAATGCTTGAACGGAGTTTGGATATCTCAATTCGAAATCTGCTTCAAGCAGAGTGTATCCTAACACTAATCTGAGGACCTTATAGTTTTCATAATATTGACTAATTGGCAGAAATGTGTTTTCAGATGAGGTCAGACTGTTTAAACGAAAATGATGTGTGGATTTCCATTTCTTTTCGACTTCAGACCAGGGTTCTAAATTTTCTTTCAACCATCCATCTGCATTTAACACGTCATTGCTCACTTTCGATTCAACATTCACTTCTGCTTCATCCGAATCTTCAGTATCTACTACGCCTTCTTGGTGTAGTAACTTGGCATTGCGATATTTTACGTTTCTAATATAATTTGGCAACTTTCCTTCGTGATTTTTTTGATTTTTACCATTAACTTTTGCACGTATAAAATAAACGAACTAGAAAAGAAAAGGTTTTATAACTAAAAATCCGAGGTCAGAATTTTTATATTGGTTCTTATTTCTTATTCTACAGATGTGCTCAGAAAACGGTTCAAAAATAAAAAAAATGAATTTTTTTTAATTTTCACTTCAAATCGTATATAATTTAGAAAATTCCATAAAACTTTATCACACTCACTTGAGGTTCCGATGGAAATAGTTGCCTAATTTTTGTGTCAACTTGTTCATAATCGTTTGCACTGGGGCTGTGTGTAAAAAAGAAAATAAATTTTATTTTCATGATTACTATTTTAATAATTAGATATACACAAATTAAAAATAATTTAGTTAATTATTAAACCTACTTCCTGTTCAGCTCTAACAATTTCTCACCAACAATGTGAATCAAAATTGAACGAGATTGTGAATTCAATAATTTATTTTGTTGATAAAATTGCAAGATGGTCCTTCCTTTACTAGAATTTTTTAATAAATCCTCAAGGTTCTAGAAACAAAAATATCTTTATAATATTAAAGTATTAAGTATTAAAGTATTTTTTTAAATGAAAAAAGTCCTTCTAAAAGGTTGTTTGCAGGAAGTTTTACAAAAATTTTTAAAAATCAAATCTTACAATTTGCAAAATTTCTTGACTCACAATCCATTTGCAAACGCGCTTAGATTTACTTTCTCTTGGTGTCTGTTTATCTCTTTTTCTACTGCAGCTGGGTTGTCCAATATTGTCAACAATTTCAGTTTTGTCACTACAGATAGAGTTTACAAGTTTTTCAATATTTTCAGTGTCTTGATTCCAGTTGAGTTCTGATTGTACAGTTTGTTCAATAATTTGAATATCTTTGCTACTATTGGACTGTAGAAGACTTTTAATAATTTGTTGGTTACCGCTGGGTGTTTTATGAAATAGAATATCCTGGCTGCATCCAGGTTGTACAATATAATTTTCATTTATTTCTCGCAATAGATCATCATTTAAAAGTGAAGGATCTGCGAAATCGTTTGGATTCTTGGTATTGGAAAATTCAGAGTGATCATTCTAGGAAAAGCACGCAATATTTATTTTATATATTTATTTTATTTTTCGTTTTTAGTAAACTTATATTTTAATTATTTTTTTTTAATTGATCGATGCTACATGACTTTTTCAAAGTAAATTTACTTACCTTTTAATTTGTTAGTCCAATTTCAGAAATAAAAAGATCAAAATAATCTTAAAACCTTCTTCTTAATAATCCTGAAAAAATCTATTATTAAACAGAAAGTTTTGAAGATTATTTTGACCTTTTTAATTTTATAATTGGATTGACAAATTAAAACATAAGTAAAATTGTTTAAATATTTTTTTATTTAAGAATTCATGGAAAACACCAAATATATTATTTTCGATTTTTCATTATAAATTTTTCAAAACTAAAACGAAGTTTTTTTTTCAAATAGAACGTGAGATATACCGAATTCAAAAAGTTTCCAACATTTTGAGATTTAATATTTTTGAGTTACATGAAAGTTTATTATTTACGCCGTTAACCTTTAAAACTCACATTAAATCGATCATTTATTAATATTATTTATTTATATTTACTTTAAATTTTTCATTTATGTTACCTCGGCTTTTTGAATTTCTTCTAAACGGGATAAAAGAATTGCCAAATCTCCAATAGGTTTAATTAATTCGTGCAGCAGGAAAGGGACTTTTTGAATTTGCTTCAACGTTTGAAGATTTAGAACCTTATTATCTATAAAACGTAATTTAGCAACAAGAAAGTTAATTTAAAGAGTCAACAAAAAGTTATAAAAATTCAATTACTTTCAAAACTGGAAACGTAATCTCCGAGTCCAATTTCAAATAATACGTTTTTCAGCTCGGTGTCCATTTTATTTTGAACTGTCACTTTGTGAATAAGTCTGAAGATGCGCACAACAAAACAAAATAAAACTTTAAAAATCTTTTTTACAGCATAAATTTGTTTAATTTTGAGAGGAATAATCTCAATTATAGAAAAAAAATCTTAAATGCAAATGAATAAATTCAATCAAAGAGAAAAGATTAAAAGTTATCCTTTAATATAAATATTCTCAAATAAAGAATAAAAATCCTCCTTTTTGTAGATGAATATTCGTATATTGAAAATAAAATGTAAAAGTAATTTATGAGAGGAATTTTATTCTCATTTGGAGATTTTATTTTTTTCGGTGTGAATTTCAATATATTTGTTTGCACCTTTAAACCGGCAACTTGCCATGCATCAATGAATTGATAAAACAGTATTTCAATACTGCAACCTGCTCTACAGCAATATGTAGACAAGTAGTCCCATAACAGTAAAGATTTTTCAAATTTTGTTTGAATCAATTCTAATTCGATGATTAGGCTTCTAAATGTATTTCATCAAATTTATGAAAATTAGAAAATAAATAATTTGAATTTCAAAATTTATAACATATTTAAAGTATAAATAAATAAATAAATAAATTTATTATCAACGAACGTTATGAGTGTTAACTATTAAAATAATATGTAATTTTTTTATGTACAAAAAAAAAAAAAGTTGCCTCCTGTGAGGTTTGAACTCACGACCCCTGGTTTACGAGACCAGTGCTCTACCACTGAGCTAAAGAGGCGTGTTGCAAATCTATCTCAAAGTATCAGAGTAGCTTTATCACATTATTTTTTCTCATTAATTAATTAAAATTATTTTATTTATAATTATTTTTCATTAAAATTACAAAAGAAAATATTCTTCAGCAATATTATTAAAAAATTTTTATAAAAAGTTTCTTTTCTACGAAATTAATAAAAAAAAAAATTATTATTTAATACTTTACATTAACTATTTGCATTTTTATTTTAAATTATCTAACAATATTAAATTATTAAATAACAAATAATAAATAAAACTTATTGAAAATTTAAAAACATCCAACCTTCCCAGTCATTGCCACCTGGCAGATACCTGCAAGAACTAAAATTTGTGTAAAATGATTCTTTTCATTTTTAATTTTGTAATTTGTAAAAAATAAATAAATTATGTTAATTAGTGTAAATAGAATGTTGTATATAATGTAAAAAATGATATTCAGAATATTTTTGGTCTAAAAGTGTTATATATAGATTTGTGTGTATTGATGATAAATATTTTCTATTGTCCTTTTTGACAATTTCCTAAAACTTGCCCTCCTATATAGCTTCTATATTAATGAAAATTTTTCAATTAAACATTAAATAAATTAAACAATAAACTGTGATCAGATGCCTTTGCTCAAATGCCTCCTAAATTGGAAAGAATTCGCTCTCGATTTAAGGTATATCAAAATAATAACATGTAAAACATAACCTACATTTTAGGTTAGGACCCGGTGACACAAAATATTTGTATAAATAAATGAATAATATTATATCCTAATTTCTTATTTAAATTAAATTTCTTTAAATTTTTTAATAAAGAAAAATTTTCTTTTTATTTATTTTATGTTATATAAAAATTTATAAATACCAGCAAGTCAAAAAATTTCGATCAAATGTTTTGTTTTTAAAATTTATGAAATTGAATTTCTTTAGAAATAAAATTGATTTTCAAATTGTTTTATTTAATTATTAAAATTTTAATAATTATTAATTTTTGTAATTATTTTATAATTTAGAATTTATCTAATTTATAATTTACTTTTTGATTGTTACGTAAAATTATAATAATCGATTGTTTTGGAACTAATTTTCGAAAACTTTTAATTAAAAGAAATTGATTTTTCATTAATATTATTTAAGAAAAATATCATTACAATCTTTTTTTTATATATATATAATCTATATAAAATTGATAATTATTTTTGTTTTTAGGTGATAACACCATTTCGATCTTTGGTACTTTGCGGTGAAAATAGACAAGATATGGAGGATTGGATTGGAGCATTAAAAACAGCTTCGGAATCTCGTCCATCGACTGATGCAGGAACAGCAGAACTTTTAGGTGGAAATCATCAATGGTATGCAACAAGTCATGCTAGGCCGACTTACTGCAACGTTTGCAGAGATGCTCTTATTGGTAATTTTCATTTATTTTTTTTTTTTATTCTTATTTTTCATATTTTCTTTAATTTATTCAATATTTCTAATTATCATCGACAGGGTTAATTATTATGAAACGTGCATTTTTGTTTTATATAAAATTTTTATAGTAAATTATTTTAATTTGGTTCTTGTTTTAAATAATAGTTGATTTTTTTTTTGCCTACAAAATAACTTAAATATTTTTTATTTTTATTCTCATTCGTAACACGAAGCTGCGAAGTATGTAACGTTTATGATAAACGATTTTTAATGAAATAATTTTTTAAAATGAAAAATTTTACAATTTTTCGCCTAAAAAATATTTCGTATAGTTTTCATTAATCAAGAAATTTAAAAAAAAAAAAGAAATATTTTTTAAGCAAAAAATTATAGAATTTTTAATTTTAAAAAATTATTTCTTTAAAAATCGTTTATCGTTTCGTACTTCATCTTCGTTTGGTAACGATGAAAAAAATGGTTAAACTTCAAAAAATTGAAAAGGTTATTTCAAAAAAAAGAGCGAAAATCCATGAATTTTTCCGAATTCAATAAAAGTTATTAAATATATAATTTTTTCCCCCTTTTTTTTATTATTTTACTCTGAAGAACTAAATAAAAAGTTTTCTTAATATACAAACAAAGAAAATATGTTATATTTGCTTTTACAATTAAAATAATAACTTGTTCTATTATTGCCTTAAATGCGAGGCAATTATGGAACAATAGTTAAGTTTAAATAGCAACGTCATAAACATTTTTTTTTTTTTATTTTTGATAATGAAAGAAGGAGAAAATCTTGAGAGGGATGTTCACAATAAAGTTAAAGTTATAAAATTTTTTTTTTTAATAATTTAGATTTTTAGTGAAGAAAAAACTGAAAAATCGCGTTTTGTTTTCATAAATTCTCCGGTTATCGGTATTTTTATAATAGTCGATTATAATTTCGAATAAAATTGTTGCTGACTAATTTAAAAAACAAAATTGTCTTTGGTGAAGTTCACAACGTTCATTATTATCAACAATTGAAAATAAAAATATATTTTTCATTTAGAAAATAATAAAATTTCTTGTCTAAAAATTATTTTCTATTTAAAATTCCTGATTGAGTAACATAAAAATTTAATTAGACAAAAAATTATGATAATTTAATTAGAAAAAGTATTTTTTTTCTAAATCGTTTGATTATAAACGTGAATTTCACAGAGAAAAAAATTAATATTTTCAAAAATGATTCGATTATATTTATATATATATATTTATATATTAGATAACGAAATTAAAAAAATTATGTTATAATTTTTTATTATTTCTCTCAAAATATGAATTTATTTTCAAATAGTTTTATTTCTTAATAAACAATTATAAATTTAATAATACAGGAAATATTTATATTTTTATCAAAGAAAATAACATTTTTCATTTAAATATTAAAACTATCCAATAATTCATGTTTTTTTAAAATTACCGATTTTTAAAAAGTCAATGATTCTATAATTTGAATAACTATAACTGTTTTTTAATTATATAAAAACTTGTATAAAAATTGTTAACTAAAATTATCCAAAAATAAATGTTTTTAATTTTTGAAACTTTAATAAATTTTATAATAATTTATGTAGTAAAATTTCTCAAATAAATCAATCAATACGTTATTAAATATTCTATTAACTTGTTATAATAGTTTTCACATAAAGATTTTTTAAAAATACTTTAAAATGACATGTTTTAAAAATTTTTAATTATTTTTAAAAAGTAAATAACTTTGGATAAAATATCAGTATAGAATATTCGCCAAAATAGATTAAAAGATAAATTTTAAAACTTAGAATATATAAAATTGAATCTGAAAAATGTATTAAATATAAATTAAAAAAAAAAATTTATATTAAAGACTCTTTGATTTAAATCATGATATAAATCATTGCAGCCCTATTTTTTATCAATTAGAAAATATATAAAAAACAGAAATTTTTAAAAGTGTAAAAAGAATAATTGATTCTTGTTTAGAATTAATTTATTATTGTTTAATGATAAAAATATTTTTAACTTGTACTTATACAATATATTATTTGGAAAATCTTAAGAACATATAAAAAGAATATTTCGAGAGAATCGCTCCTTATATACAATTTAAAAAAAATTTCAAATCTGTTATTATGAGAAAAATTAAATTTTTTTTTTCGTTATTTTTTGAAAAATGTCATTGAAATAAGATAAACAAATGCTAATAATTAATTATATATTTTTGAATTCTTTACAGGAGTTACCTCACATGGTTTAAGTTGCGAAATATGTAAATATAAAGTACACAAAAGATGTAGCGCTAAGGCAATAAATAATTGTAAATGGACGACATTAGCATCGATTGGAAAAGATATCATCGAAGACAAAGATGGGGTATGTTTTTTAAAAAAATTTCATTTAAATTTTATAACTTTACAAATTCTTTTTTTTTTTTTCTTCAAAAGTAGCATTTTAACAATGACGCATTATAATTGATTATTAAATTATTTTATAATTAAAATAATTATAAATAAAAATTATTTTAATGATTCTTAATTATTTAAAATCTATATTACAAATTTAATTTTTATTTTTGTTTAATATTATTTCAGAAGATTTGAATTTTTCCAATAAAATTATACGATTATTACAGAATATCTCAATGCCTCATCAATGGATGGAAGGAAATTTGCCAGTATCATCAAAATGTTCCATTTGTGACAAAACCTGTGGCTCTGTTTTAAGGTAAATTTTCATAAAGAAAAAAAAATTAAATTAATTTTTTCAATATAATAAGAAAGAAAAAAAAAGAAACTATTAATTTCTTTTTTTAACAAAATAATTTTTTTTTTATCATTTTAATTATTTTGTTATTTTATTTTTTAGACTGCAAGATTGGAGATGTTTATGGTGTAGAGCCACTGTTCACACAGCATGTAGGCCCGCTATGAGCGATAGATGCCCCCTAGGACCAGGAAAACTTAGTGTTGTACCTCCCACAGCATTGCATAGTATAGGTATAACAATTACACAAAAAAAAGAAAAAAAAAATAGGGTCAGAATTTCTCAAACGGATCAGCTAAAATTTTCAAAAAGAAATTAATTTTTAATGTTAAATCGATTTTTTTTTAATTTTGTAATCAAAATAAATTTCTAAAAATATTAGACCAAAAAAAATTTTTTTTAAAGTAATAAACAATTAAAATTTTTATCTGTCTTAAATAAAAAATGAAACTTTTTTTCGTTATCCAGTTGATAAATTTTCTCATCTTGGAATCTGATATTTAAAAATAATTTTTTTCTTTAAATTTGTTATTTAAATTTAATGTCGTATTAATTCTACACAAATAAATTCTACAAAAAAAAAAAGCTTTACATTTAAATAATTTGAAAAACTGAGTAAAAAATACAAATTCATTTAAAACAAAAATTATTTTTAAATATTATGTTCCAAGACAAGAAGAACTTATTTTTTATTTTTAAATTTGTCAAATGGATTTCGAGAAATTTTTCTTTTTACTTAAAACAACTGAAAATTTCAATTGTTCTTAACTGTAACAAACAATTTTTTTAAAAAATATTTTCAGAAATTTATTTTGAGCACAGTAGAAGTAAAAAAAAAACCATTTATCATTGAAAGTTAAATTTTGTTAATTTTAGGTGATTTGTTTGAGAAATTCTTACTCAGTGAAAAATAAAAGTTATATTTTTTTCTTAAATACCGTCAACTGGGGTAATTATACACACAAAAAAATTATTTTTTTTTTTACTCAACACGTCATTGAAATTTAGAATTAAAAAAAAATTGTTTTACTATTGGATCAATTCATTATATTTCGCCTGTCAAATAACCTAACTTGACGATTTTTATCCATAAATTATGAGAGAGAACTTTTAGAATTTCTTTGCACTTTTCTTATTTCTTCTTGATAAATAGAAAAAAAAAAAATTGAAAAATAAAATTGATACTTTGCTGTTTTTCGTAATTTTTTAATATTAATAACTTTCCTGGAGAAAAATTTATTAACGTCTAAAAATCACGACAATCAGCAAACTATCAATTTTATTTTTCAAATTTTTTATATATTTACCAAGAAAAAAAAAAAAGAAAAGTTCAAAGAAAATCTAAAATTTAATCACAATTACTCGATATTTTGTAAGTTTTTATTTAAATTTGAATAAAAATATTAATATTATTGTAAATTAAATATTTTAAAATAAAAATTTTTTTTTATTAAAAACTGTCGATGAATATAATAGCCCCTGGGATGGTATAATTACTCCGATTGACGATACATTAAATATTTTCAATTATTTTTAAATATAATAGTTTCAAGTTCAGTAATTTCGAATTTAAATAGAAGATATGTTTGCTTTCGAAACAGGAAGTGACGAAGCCTGGGAAGCAGTGAGACCAATAGGATGCAGTCCTCTTTTAGTATTTGTTAATAGTAAATCTGGTGACAATCAAGGAATTAAATTCCTTAGGCGATTTAAGCAAATACTAAATCCAGCCCAAGTTTTCGATCTCATCAAAGGTGGTCCAGGGCCAGGGTAAATTATATTTGAATTTTTTGAAAAGACTAAAATTTTTGTCAGGGCTGCAATAATTTAAATCAATCCTTAACTTTTTTAAAATTAATTTTTCATTTTTAAAAATTAAATTTCAAATTTTTTAATAGCACAAAAAAAAGTAAGGGACTGTTCTCGTTTTTTGCTATAGTTTTGCCAATGTTGTGTTTTGGATCTTTTTCAAGTTCAATTTGGTGTATGTATTAATTTATGATCAGAAATACGTTGAAAACGGAAAAGGTTAGAAAAATTGATATTTTAAATTCTAAATAATTATTATTAAATTAAAAATTAAAACTATTAACAGGAGGGACTGGCGAAATTTCAACACAACGAAATCAATGTTTAGGGGGTAAAATTTTTTTCTTGACAATATTTGGTATTTAAAATTTATAATTTAAAAAATTAAATAACAAAAAATTTGTTTTTAAAATAAAAATCGAAATTTTCGAAAAATTAAAATTTGAACTTCTCTTATAATTTCTATTATTTTTCATTGACAAATTTTTTATACTCATTGTTTCTTCATTCTGAAAAATCAATCGTATATAAAATTTTAAATTTATTCACGCTTCAAATATTTTTCTTCAAATTTTAGTATTTTAATACTGTTCTTAAATAGAAAGAGCCTATTGTTTATTTTCATACAATACATTTTGTCGGAAAAAACGAAAAAATCCAATTTCAATTTTCTGTCCTATAAAACTTTACAGCTTTAGAGAACGACCTACTTTTTATTTTCATTCAATTTAAAAAATCTGTTTTAAAAAAAAAAAAAAATTCAGATTAAAATGCAAGTAATTCTGCGAAATTTAACTTTATATCCATTTTAAAATTTATCCAATTACAATTAACATACAACAGTTTTATACAATTATTTACATAGCCTTAAAATTTGTTTTTGAAAAAACGTTTTTCAAAATTGAATGAAAATAAAAAGTAGGTCGTTGTCAATTAACAAACTTTGATAGGGATGGAAAAAAAAGTGTTAACTTAAAAGCAAAAATTGGATTTTTCTACAAATTATCAGATTTTTTAAATTCTCAATTTTCTCTTCACTTTCAAAAATTCTAGTGTTTTGAATTTTGTTTTTGTTTTCAAATATTTGAAAATTAAAAACGGCTTTTTTGGTCATAATTTTTTTTCCCCATTTTTCCTTTAAATTCTTCTTTTTAGAATTCATCAAATTTTTTTTACTTATGTATGTACATAATATATTTTCTGGTCTTTTAATTGTTCACTACAAAGTTTCTTAATAATGATAATAATTTGATTAAATAATTAATAATTTTGTTAAAGTCCTTTAAATTTGTTATAAAAACAATTTTAGGACAATTTGATTTTTTTTATTAGTAGAAGAATAAAAAAAAACCCTTGTCATCGACTTTCGTTTTCAAAATAAAATACTCTAACAAAAAATACGATTTTTTAGAAACAAAAAAAAAAAAATTGATTTTTTCAGCCCTGGTATTTTTTTTTTGTTGATTTGAAAAAAAATTTGACAAAGACGAAGAAATATATTTTTCGAAAAAAGAAAGTGATATTAGATTTTTATAAAATATTTTGCATATATTTTATTAATTATAAAACAGGCTCAGACTCTTTCGGCATTTCGACCCTTTTCGGATTCTTGTATGCAGTGGAGATGGATCAGTTGGTTGGGTTCTTTCGGAGATTGATCGGTTAGGAATGCACGTGAGTAATCGCAGGAATCCAAATCTCGTGCATTTCTTTTCTTTGTTTTTGCTTTAATTACACATTTTCTGACCTGCGACAAATTCTTCTTTTGAAAATTTTTATTATGATTTCACATTCGAACTAACCTATTTCTCTCAATTTATTATTAAGATTTTATTTCTTCTACTGTGGCGTAGTTTTTTCTAAGTTTTTTTTTTTTAAATAATTTATTTCTCTTTTCTTCTAATAGTGTTTTACTTGAATGATCTTCGTTTCTTTCTGGATAACGAAATGTTTTTTTGTTGTTGAGAAAATTTGACAGTTTTTCTTACTTTCTTTTTTTCCTGTTTTGAGTGAGTATTTTAATTGGCGGTGCATGAATTTCCCATAAAAAATCATTAATTAGAATTTTTATTTTAAAGTATTTAAATTAGAAATAATTTTTTTTTAGACGAATTTCACAATTATCGAATTTTTTTGTTGAGACAGAATTTTTATTTTACAGTCATTTTCTTAACATGACTTTTAATTTAAAAAAAAATTTTAATTTAAAAGAATTTTAATTAACAAAATTCTCATTCAATTTGAATTTTATGTCATTTGAATTTTTAAATTGAAATAAATTCTAATTCACCGAATTTTAATTTTCTCAATTTTTATTTGTACGAATTTTAAATTGATAGAATTTTTAATAAGTCAAATTTTTATTTGTCCAAAATTACAAATATCCAAATAAACAATCGATAGAAAGATTTTGGCACAATTTTTAATATTTTTTAATTTTAATTAATCAATTAGAAATTATAAAAAAAAAATCGTCATTGGTATTTTAAAAATTCGTAAAAATTAAAATTCGGTGAATTGGTCTTTCTGACACTTAAAATTTTAAATGACATAAAATTCGATTGAATGAGAATTCTGTTAAATTAAAATTAAAATTCTGTTACATAAAAATTCGTATAAATAGTAATTCTATTAAATGCTAATTCAAAAAAGGAAAATTCGTCTAAAAAAAAATTTTTATTCTAATAAAATTCTTTAAAATAAAAATTCTCATTAATGATTTTTATTGGATAATCATGCGCTCCTTTTAATTTGATTTTATTTTGATTGCACCATTTTTCTTCTTTTTCTCTCTCTCTCTTTCTCTTTCTTTCTCTTGCGTTTTTCAAATTGTCGAATTTTCTATAGCATGGCGTGTCTCTCTTTTTCTTTTATTGCAGGTGCAATCATCGACTGAGCTTTTGCACCTCTTTAGTTGCGCTAAAGTTATCTAACTTTCTTTCTAGGCGGTAAGTCATCAAAGAATGTGGCACTATTTATTTTGTCTTCTGAATTATTTTGTTTTTTTCTGCCTGAATTTGAAAAAGCAGTTTTTGTTTTTGAAAAAGATTGACACACATTTTTTGTTATTGTTAATTGATAAGGAAGTTCGCTCTTTTTTTTTGGCAATTTTATGTTATTTGTAATATGTTTAATATAATTTGAGAACGATATTTTTTTAATCCAATTTTCCTTGATGATTTTATTTTAATTTTTCAATAGTGAAAATTTGCTGTATTATTTTTTTTTTTTAGAAACAATGTCAAGTTGGAGTATTACCGTTGGGAACTGGTAATGATTTGGCGCGAGTTTTAGGATGGGGTGCGTCATGCGATGATGATACACATTTGCCACAACTTTTAGAAAAATATGAAAAAGCCAGTACAAAAATGTTGGATCGCTGGAGTGTTATGACATTCGAAAGAAGTATATCGTTACCATGTCGTAAATTATCAATGAATCAAACTGATTTGCCTTTGAGTTCGGCATTAGTACAAGAATATGAGGATAGTGTTCTTTCGCATATAACAAATATTTTGCAATCAAATCAAGATAATTTAATTATATCAAATGCCAAGTGAGTTTTTAAATGAAAAAAAAAAGAAATTCTTTCTATAGATGAAAAGTAAACAATTTTTTTAATATTTTCTTTATATTTTTAGAATTTTATGCGAGACAGTAAAAGATTTTACGGCACGAGTTATTGATATAAGTTTTAATTCTGGTGATCAACAACTTGCCGAAAAATGTGATATTGTTCAACAAAAATTGAATTCATTGATTAAAATCTTACATATCGATGATAATGACTATCAGGATATTGAAGACGATAGAGAGTTTAGTAATTTTAGAGCTGAAAACATTCCATCATTAGATCATCAAGAAAAGGGTGTTTTAGAAAAACCCGAGAAGGATATTACTAATTTAAAAAGAGTTCGTAAAAGAAAAGATTTTATGGATAAGGATGCTTTATTATCCAGGTATTTGGAAACTAATTAATAAAATAAATAAACAGAGTTGCTATGAATCAGTGAAAAGTCAGGGAATTTTATAAAAAGTACTGGAAAAACATCAATTTTTTCTTTTTAAATCACAGAGACAAATTTTCAAGATTTCAATAAAGTTTTAAAAACAAATTTTCAAAAATAATTTTAAGTTACATTAAAAAAAAAAAAGAAAATTTTTCCAGTCTAATTTATGCACATTATTCGAATTCAGAATTTTGGAAAATATTTTAAATAATTAAATTTTCAAAGAATTTCATTAAATTTATTAAAATTAAATTATTCAACAAAGAACTTTAGATAAAAATTTTAGAAATAATTGCATTTCGAAAGAAGAGTTTGAGGTAAAATTTTTTGAAATAATAATTAAATTTCAAGAGATTATTAATTGAAACTTACATTTTGAATTGGTGAAATTTTTTCAAAAACTTTAGACAAAAATTGAATTTTAGTGAATTTTTAATTGAAAACTGTTTTAAATCATGTAGATTTCGAAATATTTGTTTGAATTTTTGAAATTATTGAAAATAATTGATTTCGAAAACAATTCAAGTTAATATATTTTTTTTAATAATTCAATTTTAAAAAATAAAAAAAAAGTCGAAAAAGTTGTGCAATCCGATGCCTGTTATTGAAAACTTCTTGAAATATTTTCATTAGGGTCAGGGAAAGAATTTTAATTTTAACTGGAAAATCAGGAAAACGTCAGGGAAAAGCAAAGTAATATTTTTGTGTCAATCCTGATAAATAAAAAATACTAATTAATTAAATTAACAATTTAATTAGTTTTCAATTATTTTTTTTTTTAATTATCTTTTTAAAGGGCCGACAGTTTGAAAAGAGCAATTCGAAGTTTTGCAGAACTTACAGAACTTTCTAGTGAAGAACAATCAATGAAGAGAAATTTAATGAGTTATGGTAAAAATTTATTTTATAATTAATTTAGAAAAGAAATTCGGAAAAAAAATTCCGAAATAATTTCAAAGAATATTTATGAATTTCCTGATTTTTATTTCAGATAAAAAGGCAAATTTGGATCTTCCTCTTGTGGCAACATTACATTCTATAAGTAGTACAGATTCTTCCTTGTGTTCCAGTCCAACTCCAAATGTTGCGTCTCTTAGTCCAATGCCCGATTTGAGAAGAGATTCTCAAGCCGATGAAATGTTGACATTACCGGCACCAGATGGTTTTGCTGACAGCAGAAGAAATAGTTCCAACATGCCTCAAGTGTAAGAAACAAATTTTTTATTTAATAGAATAAAAAAATTACAAGATTTTTCTAAAAATAGGCCGCAACAATTTTTACGTGAAATATAGTTGAGTTGACCCTTTACATTTTTTTTTTTTTATTTTACATAATTTAATTTCAGAGCTTTCAGTTTTGAAGCACCAATGGTGGAGAAAGCATTATTAACAGAATTAAAAAAAATACAAAATGAAATAATGACAAATGGAGATGAATTTCAAATTGAAACCCAATCTGATATTCAAGTGACAGTAACACCAACGACATTAGATACAAGTTCACCAACTGATGATACCACAATTCAGGATGCAATGATTTCACCTGATTCGGAAACTGCATTTTCTAAAAATGCATCACTTGAAAATATGCATCGAATGCAAAGTGATGTTAAAATTGATCCAATAAAGGGAAGTTGTAGTAACAGTATTATTAGTCTCGACAGCACAGTTTCTGATACTATGGATTCAAAAAGTCTCAATGTGAAAAATAGCGAAAGTGAAATTGGTAACGATTATTAATTGATTTCAAATTTTTTTCTAAATTTCAGACATCACAGTTATAATTATTTTTCTAACTTTTTTTTTCGGTTTTGTCACTTTTTTCCACCTATTTTGATGATTTGTCCCCTTTTTCCCATATATTTTTTTTTTTATAAAAAATGTAGAATTTTTTTTTATTAATATTCCGAATAATGTTTATAAGAGCTATTTTTCAATTAAAAATTTTATGAAATTCAATAATTATCAAAATTAAAAGAAAAATCACCAAATAAAGTACCAAAAATTTTTAATCAAAATCACTTAAAATTCAACTATTTTCAAATATTTCACTATTCAAAAATTCAATTATTTTTAATAATTTTAATATTTCTTTAAAAATTCAATTATTTAAAAAAGTTTCAAACAAAAACTTTAAAATTGAATTGTAAGAAAATTAAAAAAAAAAAACTACAGCAGTTTAAATTTGCAGAAAATTTATTTCAAATTTTCTGCAATTCAATTATTTAAAAAAAAATTTAATTTAAAAATCTGTAAAATTTAATTATTATCCAACCAAGTTTTTTTTTAAAATTAAAACTAAAAAGTATGCCAAAATTTTAAATTGGAATAAAATGCTTAAATTAGACTTCAATAAATTTTAAAACTGGAACTTGAAGAATTTTTTTTGAAATTTGTCCTACATAATTAAAATTCCAAATAAATTTTCTTGATTATATTCTTATAGAATTATTTTTATTAAGGAATTAATACAATAAATTTAATGTTTAATAACATTAGTTATTTAAAGTAAAATATTTATTAACTAATTATTAAATTAAAAAAAAAAAATCCCAACTTTTTTTTTTAAACGTCATTTATTCTAATACAGACACAAATTCTCAAATATAAAATTATTAAAAATTATTGTTATAAAAAGTTTATTTCTTCTAATTTTTATTAAATCAAATTATTATACCTACAACATAATTATTATTATTAAAAATTTCTACATTAAATAATTATTTTTTAAACGAATTGTAATTTCATAGAATCTACTGCCTATTATAATATAAAGAATAAAAGTTCAAAAATTTTATTATAATCAAATTTACTTTCTAGCAAAGAGTTCAGAACTGTAAGAAATTATATTTTAGAATATATTGTTATTATAACTTTAAATACATATTAATTTCTTATTTGTTATATTTTTTTTTTGTCCCCATTTTTAAGAAAAAAAAATTCTCCTTTTCACCTTTTTTGATGTGAAAAGTTATTGTGATGCCTGAAATTTAATATTTTCTCATTTTCTCTTTTTTGGATAATTTCTCTAACTATTTTCAGGTCATATAGACAGCGATATTCTCGATTCGACAAAACAGTCCGACAGTCCGGAAATTGGACACATTGACTCGGCGGAAAATTCCGAAATATACGAGACACAATCGGAAAGTATGATTGATGATTTAAGTTCATTGGGACAAGATTTAATAAGTACAATAATGGGCGAAAAATATGATTCTGTACGTGAATGTTTAGAATCGGAGAATGTTGAAAAACCAGCGAAAAAATATTGTAGTCTCGCTCAATTTGCTGAGGGCAGTGATATTGCAAGAAGATCATTTAAAAAACCATCGAGAAATATTAAAATTGATCAGGAAATGTTATTTGGCGGGAAAAATCTTGAATTTCCATCGAATATATTAAAAATAAATAGCAATGAAAATGAAAAAAATGATAAACATTCACAGAGTGGTGAGAAAATAACAAATTTATTAAGTCCCGTTTGTTGTTTTACTGTTTCATCTGATCAAAATGTGACAAATGAATCACAACAAATATTTCCACCGACAATAAGTGTTATTGTCGATCCACCAAGTCCATCGGCATCAATTGGCAGTCGTCATGAGAAAGAAAATAAATTAAATTCCAAATTGAGACGATTGAGTGGTGAGAGTATGGAAAAATGTAAGTATTTTATAGCTATGTTATGTTATTTAGTTTCTTTTTTTTTGTTTCTTATTAGGAAAAATTTCATTTTAAAATTTTTCTTTAAAACCATTTTCATTCTGCAGTTTCAGTTTCATTCTTAAGATATTTCTTGTTTTTTCTTGAAACAATTCGTTTTTTATTTTTAACCACTTAGCTTTTATGTTTTGTTAAAAACTTTTTTTGGGGAATTTACTTGAAATATTACTATCCTCTTTTTTTTTTAAGTAAACGTCGAATTACCAGAATATGGATGTTCACCGCAAGCAACGAGGCGAATAAGCAGCGGTAGTTTATTAAAACCAAACGAAGTTGTATCGTTGGCAGCATCGGCTGCAAGACTTGGAGGATCGAGTTTAAGCCTTCGACACGAAAGAGCAAAATCAGTCGATAAAACGGAAGAAGTTAAAAAACTGCCAATTATTAATCCTCTTGTCCGATTGCCAATGTGGCCAAGTAAGTATAATGAAAATTTGAAATATTCAATTCAAATACTACTATTAATTCATTAAATTATTATTTACAAAATCAATAATTTTATAATTTAATTTTTTTTCAATTAAATTGTTTTATAATTAAAAAGTTTTTTAAGTGCAATATTTTGTTAATTCAATTATTTGTATATTCTAAAAAATTTTATTTAAATTATTTTTACACAATTTGTAATCTTTGATTACAATATTTATTAAACTGCAATTTATAATTCAAATTCTCCATTTTTCAGTGAGTTTCGTGCATAGAAAAAAAATAATTTTTTTTTGATGATTTTGCTGTTTTTATATCAAAATTATTATCCATACCATAATTTTTTTCACTTTTTTGAAAAATAATTCATTATTTGAATTCAATATTAAAATTTAGAAAAAAAAATGAAAAATATTTTTGAAATTAAAAAATAATTTAATTGCAAGATAATTTTTAAAAAAACCGCACCGAAAAATATTAAAATTAACGAGGAAATAATTAATAATTTAATTTAGAGAAATTATGTTTTTTAAAAACAATCAATATTTTAATATTTAATTTTTTAAATAATTAAATTTTATTGATAATTAACAAATGGTGTGAATTAAATTTTTTTTTAATTTTCAAATTTTGAAAAAAATAATAAATCATGAAGATGATTTGAAGATTTAAAAAAAAATCTTCAAAAGTCATAATTTTTCTTCAAAGAAATCATAATTTAAGATATCAATTTTTTACTATACTTCAAATTCGGGAAAATTTTAGAAGAATTTTGTATTTTTGTAAAAAATGTGGAAAAAAAGTTAAGAGGAGAGGAATTATAAGTAAGAAATAGATAGATAAAGATATTCATATATGTATAAGTTGGCTTTTTATGTATTAAGAAGAAAATTGTAAAGGTCCTTAAAGAGGACATGCAATGAAATAAATTATTATTATTATTATTATTATTATACTATTTCCAATTCAAATAAATTTAAAAATACCAGTCATGCATTTTTAAAATTTAAATTTTAGGTATAAAATTTAAAAAAATTTTGATTTTTATTCTACAGAATTAATTATATTATTTATATTGATTAAATTCTGTAGTTTAAATGTTTTAAATTAAATTTGTTTTATTATATAACTTTAATAATTGTTTTATTAATCTTTTTTTTTCAATTTTATAGATGTCAGCGGAGGTGCTGGTTTAATAAGTCAAGCTTTACTTGCAAATGCAGATGCTCTTTGCGCAGCTGTTTCACCATTAATGGATCCAGATGAAACTCTCATGTATGAATTAATTTATATTTTTCGTATATAAATATATATATATGGGGCATTCTATTTTAAAATTATACCCCTAGTAAACAATTGACAATATAAGACATTTTTTAAATAATTATTTCTCCCATTTAATTAAATCAAATTACTTTTGCAATGAGTGGATTCGAAAGAGAAATTTCTATACTTTACAATTGTAAAAAAAATTTTCAAAAAAACATTTAAATAGTATAAAAAATTTAGTTTGAAGGTTAAACTTGTAAATATCTCAAAAACACGTTGTCTCCGATTTTGACAAAATCTATGTCAAAAGAAAGCTTAAATATTCTATTTTTTATTTCCGTAAAGTTTATAATGGACATTTTCGAGAATTTCCAGAAATTAATTAAAATTCTCAGACGTTTCGGAGGTTAAAAAGGATTGAAATTTGTATGAATGGAGAACCATTTCTTTAAGAGCGGATTTTGTTTTTTAAATTTAATTTCCATTAACCTTACATTATTACATCACTTGACATTAGAGAAAAAAAATATTGTAAACAATAAATATATTGATCTTTAGCTATTTGCAATTAAAAATTTTTCAAATTTAAAAAAATTATTAAGATTAAAATTGAAGTTTTAAAATTTATTTATTTAAAAATTTCGTAAAAACAAATGCCGCTGTATTTGAACAGAGATTCTCTATTCATGCAAATTTCAACCCTTTTTAACCTTTGAAACGTCTGAGAATTTTAATTAATTTCTCGAAATCCTCGAAAATGTCCATTATAAACTTTACGGAAATAAAAAATAGAATATTTAAGCTTTCTTTTGACATGGATTTTGTCAAAATCGGAGACAACGTGTTTTGAGATATTTATAAGTTTAACCTTCAAACTAAATTTTTTATGCTAATTAAACGTTTTTTTAAAAAAATTTTTTTACATTAATAAAGTTTAGAAATTTCTATTTCGAAACCACTCATTGCAAAAGTAATTTGATTTAATTAAATGGGAGAAATAATTATTTAAAAAATGTCTTATATTGTCAATTGTTTACTAGGGGTATAATTTTAAAATAGAATGCCCCATATATAATACAATATATTAAAATAACTCAATTATTATTTTGTTTATTATAAATAGGGAAGGTTATTTCGAACGATGTGTTATGAATAATTATTTTGGCATTGGAATTGACGCGAAAATAAGTCTTGATTTTCATCATAAACGAGAGGAACATCCAGAAAAATGTAGATCACGTGCAAAAAATTATATGTGGTACGGAGTTTTAGGTTCTAAGCAATGGCTACAAAAGACATATAAAAATTTAGATCAAAGAGTTCAATTAGAATGTGATGGTCAAAGAATACCTTTGCCTTCATTACAAGGAATTGTCGTTTTAAACATTCCAAGGTAAGACAAAAAAAAAAACATTTTTTTTTGTACAATTTTCTAATTGAAATTTTTTTATTTTAAATTTTATTTTAAATTCGTTGATTATTAATATTTATTTCTTTGTAGCTTTATGGGTGGTACAAATTTTTGGGGTGGTACGAAAGAAGGTGACATTTTCTTAGCGCCCTCATTTGATGATCGAATTTTGGAAGTTGTTGCTGTATTCGGTTCCGTTCAAATGGCTGCATCTAGATTAATTAATTTGCAACATCATCGAATTGCACAGTGTCATAGTGTACAAATAAATATACTTGGAGATGAGGGCGTTCCAATACAAGTTGATGGAGAGGCGTGGATTCAACCTCCGGGAATAATAAGAATTATTCATAAAAATCGAATGCAAATGCTTTTTAGAAATCGGGTAACTATATTTATTCTTTTCTATTTTATTAATTTTTTTTTTTTGTTATTTTATTTGTTTCGTTAGATTCTTATTTTTAATCACAATAATTTTTGAAAATATTAGAAGAATCAAAAAATTTTTTAATGAAATTTGAATTGTAAAAATTAAAAATTGTAACAAACAATAAAAAATTGTTTATACAGGCACTTGAAACATCACTTCGAGCATGGGAGGAGAAACAACAAAAAGTCTCAGCAGTCTCGCAATCATCGTCAACATTAAGCAGTACTACTTCACAGTCACGAACTCATTTACAAATAGATGGAAAACAATTGTTACTTACTGATGAGGAAATGAGTATTTTACTTGGTTTCATTGAAGTTGTTACGACTTTGGTTAAATGGGTGAAGTTACTTATTATTTCACATCCAAGTCTTGAACCAGATCTTTATCAAATTGCAGCGAGAACTGCAGTTGCACTTGAAAAAGTTCATCCTGATGGAAAAATTTTACAAGGGGTTAGTTATTCTTTTTTTTTTTAATGAAAATAAAAAAACAGAAATTAAAAATACAAAAAAATTAAATTATTAAATAAAAAGGAAATTATTTTAAAAAAAAGGTCAATTATTTTCTTCTTTTTTTTTCTATAGACGAATTTACGACCCGTTGTCACTGACTTGGTTTCCACTGCCAGACAATTGTACGAAGAATCCTGTGAATTATTAAGAGACAAAGCGCACAATTTAGTAAGAATCTATTTATATTATTTTTTATTTAACTCTACTTTTTTTTATTAATTTCAGGGTGTTCAGCGAACTTTGAAATTTTTGAAAAGTGTTTTAATTTTTTTGCGCTTCAAAACATTGACGGAATGTTGAAAAATAATTTATTAGTTTAAGAATTTTTTTTTTTTTAAATTTCTGAATTTTTTTATAATTTAGAGAACACAAAATTACAAATTTTCATCTTTTCTAAAAAACTGATTCAATAATATTGATCCGAGCTTGAATTTATTAAACATTTTCATTAATTTAAAAATTATTTGGTTCAAATGTCAATAAATCCAAATTTTCAATTAGTTGAAGCATTTATTGATTAAAAATTGTAATCGATTTAAATTTAAATTAATTCTAACTCTAATCAACCGTCAATACAATGAAAAAAAATGTAATTTATTTAAATTATTCGAATTTCAATTTGATTAAATTTAAATGTCGAATTATTCGATTTCTATTGAAATTTAATTAAATTTTTTTGACAGGGAAAATTTTTCTAATTTCAGGAAAATTGAAAATTTTTTTCTTATGGCAACTTTAAATTTATTAAAATTATCAATTAAATAAGTTAATAAATTAGTTATTATAGTAATAAGAACTTAATTATTGTTTTTCTAATATTTTTTTTTGCACTTTATAGAAATTACGAGAAGATCTTGAAAACAAATTATCCCTTTCCCTGGCAACAATGGAGCAAGAATTGCGAAAATGTATATTTGACGAAGGTGGCACTTGTCTCGTGTATCTACAACATTTACCACCTGAAGATCAGGTAAAGAATTTTAATTATTTATTATTAATTAATATTTCAATTTTTTTACAATATCAAACATTCTATTGTTTATTCTCCTTTATCCTCAAATTTATTGCGTATAAATTTTTTTTTTAAACTTTGTATTTTTTCAATATTTCATTTTATTTATGTCAGTTTCAATTTTTTTTTTCTACATAGACGAATTTTGTTTTTAACATAATTATCGACATTTCAGAATTGCGTTTCTTCATAAAAAAAATAATAAAGAAACTTAAGGTGTGTGAATTAAGAAAAAATATTAAATTCCTGCTTTTAAATATTACTATACTTGCTCCCCCCCCTTTTTTTTGTTCGTTATGTAAATAATTTAACAGTCGGTGTTATTTCCATATTTTGCATGGAAGTTCAAGTTGAAAATTCCAAATAGGCAAAAAAGTTGATTTTTTTTCAACCACCACATATGTATAAAATTATTATTTATTATTTAATTATTACCAATATATATATATATATATATTATATATATAATTACGTGTAACCAGAATTAATAATTTTAAGGGAGATTCAATATACCGTAAAATATAAACTGAAACTAAAAATTGTTTTTATGTATTTAGACAATAATAATATAAATTAATTTTAATAAGTTTTAATTATATTTTTGAAACAACAATGAACCTCGGAGTAAATGTTTTGATTTATTTTCTGAAAGATTATTTTTAGTCAAAAAAAAAAAATTTTAGTCGACATTTTGAAAGTATCATCTTGAATTTTAAGATTTAAAAAACGGGTGAATTTCCCATAAATAAAATTTTTATTTTAAAGAATTTTATTAGATACCTATAGTTATTTTTTAGACGAATTTTCATTTTTCGATAAAGAATTTGACAAAATTTCTTTTGAAACGAATTTTTACTAAACACCATTTTTAAATGTCGAATTTTTTATTTGACAGAATTTTTATTTTACCAAATTTCTCTTTGCCAAAATTTTTATTTAAAAAATTCTAATTTAGCAGAATTCTCATTCAACAGAATTTTAAATGATTCGTATTTTTAAATGCCAAAATTTTCAATTTATCGAATCTTCATTTGTTTGAATTGGCACGAAATCTTTTTATCGATTGTTTGTTGCAAAAAATGGAAATTAGACGTTTTCAGAATTCTATCAAATAATAATTCACACTGTTTTTTTTTAAATAAGAAAATAGACTATTTAAATAATTCTCAAATTGAAGGAATGGGAAAACAATATTTGTAATAAAAATAGAATCAAATGTTTTAAAAAATTCTATTTTTGTTCTTTCAAATTATACCTATACATATATATATAAATATCAAAATTAATTCATATTATTGTTTTATTATCTGGTTTATAAAAGCATTTTTAAATTACGTCGGCGAAATTCACAATTATGATCAACGATTTAGAAGAGAAAAATATATTTCTGTGAAAATTATTATAAATTTTGGTCCAAAAAAAAAAAAATTTTATAACGTTTCTCAATCGCACAATTTTTAAGCCTTTGAGGACATTTTTTTGTTATCTCATGCATAAGTTCCTTGATTGTTAAAACTGAATATTGGACAAATTTTTTCCAATTTATTTTAATAAATTTTTAATTTCAAACTCTAATTTTGAGACAAAAAAATTTTAATTAGTTTCGTTGAAAAACTTGTTTAAAAAATCAAAAATCCTGATTTTTTAATAAAAAATTTGATCCTGAATGGGTTTAAAGAAAAAATTTATAGGCAAAAAATACATTATTATTTTTTGAATGAACAACATTTTTTTTCATTCGTTGATCATAAACGTTATCAGGTTTGACACGGATCAGGGAAATCAGGGAAAAATCAGGGAATTTTACGAAAAGTACTGAAAAAATATCAAATTTCTAAAAATACTACTAAAATTATAATTTTTGAAATTTTCAATTCAAACTTTTGCTTCAAAAAATAATTGTCGTACTTTTTTTTTAATTTGTAGGCCTCGGATCGACTTTTGAAAGAAAAAAAAGTCATTTTAGTCGATTTACATTACAAGAACAGTATAAAAAGTTCATTTTTTATTTTCAAAAATTAATTTTATTAATTGATTAAATATTTTATTATTATTAACAATTTGTTATTAGAAATTAAATAAAATTTATTAATTCCATAGTAAGAATGTTTCACAGAAATTTTTTTCAAGAATTTTTCTTTTTAAACCACCAAATTAAACTCAGACAAATTTTCCAGATTTCAATTAAGTTTCAAAACAAATTTTCAAAAATAATTAAAAGTTACATTTAAAAAAAAAAAGAAAATTTTTCAAGTTCAATTTATGCACATTATTCGAATTCAAAATTTCGAAAAATGTTTTAAATAATTAAAATTTCGAATAAAAAATTTCAATAATATTAAAATATTATTGAAAAAAAAATTAATTTTAAATGAAAATTTGTGAAATAATTGAATTTGAGAAGATTTTTAATTAAAATTTTTAAAATAATTGAATTTGAAAAAGTTTGATTTAAAATTTTTAGAAATAATTAAATTTCAGGAGATTTTTAATTGAAAGATTTATAATGTTTTCGAAAAATTTGTTTTAAATTATTAAAAATAATTGATTTTGTAAACAATTCAAGTTAATTTTTTTTTTTTCTAATTCAATTTTAAAAACAGGCTTCACAATTATCTTAAACTATTTTTCAATTCAAATTTTTATAAAATTTAATAATTGTTTATAATTTTAAAAAATTTAGCAAATAAAATTACCAAAAAATTAGCAAATAAAATTACGAAAAAATTTTTTATTCAAAATCACTGTAAATTTAATTATTTGCAAAAATTTCAATTATTTTTATAATATTCTTCGAAAATTCAATTATCTGAAAACATTTTTCATTTAAAAACTTATAGAATTCAATTTTTTATATGTGATTTCTAATAAATTCTTCATCAACAGAAATCACTAAAAATTTCTCCTATTATAAAATGTTAAATTAAAATTATTTAATAAATTATTTTTAGTTCTGTAAAATTTAATTATTGTCTGAAAATTAACAAAATCTTTTGAAATTCAATTATTTTTAAAAATTTCAATTTTAACTCTTTCAAAATTATTATTAAAAAAAAATTTTATTTTAAAAATCTGTAAAACTTGATTAAGTATTGCCTCTGACATTTTTTTTGACCATCAAAACTAAAAACTATGACAAAATTTTTAATTCGAATAAATTGCTTAAATCAGGCCTACTTAGATAAAATTTTGAAAATTTGTCACTTACAATTACTTAGTTTGATTCTGAAATATTCGAAATAAATTTTCTTGATAATATTTTTATATAGAATTATTCTCATTACAGAATTAATATAAAATTAATTTAATATCTAATAACATTAGTTATTTAAAATAAAATATTCATTTTTTTTAAATATTAAGTTTTATTAAAATAAAAAAAATCGACTTTTTCGACATTTTTGGAATATAAACTAAAACGACTGTTTTTGTTCCTTAAATTCGATTCGAAGCCTGTAAAAAATTTTTTAAAAAAAGTCGTAAAATTCGTGCAATCCGAGTTCTGTTATTGAAAACCTCTTGAAATATTTTTATTAGAGTTAGGGAACAAATTTTCATTTTGTCTAGAAATCAGAGAAAATTCAGGGAAAAACCAAAATAATATTATTGTGTCAACCCTGGTTATAAACTTCACCGACGTTTTAAATTACAATTATTATCTAATATTGAATCTCATCCTTAAAATAATCGTATATTGTGCATATTGTACAAAGTCCCTGCTATACAAGTTGTCAGAAACCTGATATGTATATTTATTAAAAAAAAAATAATAATAATAATAATAATAATGTTTTTTTTAACAATATCAAAAAAAAAAAAAAAAAAAATATTGTCTTTTAACAATATTTTTTTTTCAAATTAATTAAAAATTATTTTCTAACAAAATATTTTTGTTTCCTTTTTATTTGCATTATTCTCATCTTATAAAATTCAGAGCGACAAAAAAAATCGACATCGTGGACTATTTTGGTTGAAATTCCGTCGATCAATTGGAAATGCAGGCAATCATCCAGCGAGAGATCAAGTGACACATTGGGGTGTTCAGGAGGTATGCTGTTGGTTGGAGAATCTTCAACTTGGAGAATATGTCGATAATTTTGTTTCACACGATATTCGTGGACGTGAATTATTATCATTAGCCAGAAGAGATTTGAAAGAATTAGGAATAACAAAAGTTGGTCACGTAAAACGTATTTTACAAGCAATCAACGATCTTAATAGCTAATCATGCCATTTATTTATGGAAAAATATTATTTACAGTGCGATTGAAATATTTTAATTATTTCAAAATTTTATTCACAATTTATTTTCTTCTTAAATTATTTAATTATTATTCACTATTAGTTTTTAATAATTTATTTTTAATTTCTCGTAATTTGTAAAGAGAAAATTTTTGCAACAAATTTATTTCTTTTTATAGTACGAATCTTTTTTTTCTCCAGTTTATTAGTTTACTATAATTAGTTAATTATAAAATTTATAATTTTGATGATTAATTAATTATTACACTGAAAAAAGAATTGATGAGTAATTAATTAATTATCACAGGAAAAATGTTTTTTTTTTTTTTTTTTTTTTTTTGTCTTCAAATACTCATCATTCGATGATGTCAAAGAATTAAAAAAACAATCCAATCAAAGTTGATTGCGATTTTATGAAGTAAGTATTTATTATACTAAATAATATATTGAATAAAAAATGCCTATTTTTATTAAGGGCACGTTAAAAAAAGAAAATATTTGCTTTGAGCGAATACGTATATACAGTATTTCCTTCAGTAGTTTCGGTGCCAAAACTCTAGTCTCTTTTTATTAAAATATAATCAAAAATAAAATAAATGTACGTGTATGTTTTTCACGAACGTTTTAATTGTTTTTTTTTTTTTTTTCTCAAATCAAAGCGTATTGTTAATTGAAACAATACCGCTGCTTTGCACAAAATAGATAATGAGATTTAACGCTTTTTCTAGCACAAAACAAGGTTAGAAATTCGTAATTAAAAAAAAAATTGTACAAAGAAAAATGTTTGTTTTTTAATTTTTTTTTTAAAATAATTTTAATTAATATCTTTATTTAAAAAAGTAAATTAAGAAAATTTTTCTCTTGCCAAAAAAAGAATTGCAATTAAATTAGCAATAAAATTTCTCCTTTTTTTGTGAAATTATAAAAGCAAAAAACTCATTAAAATCGCTACGAATATAAATTTTATGTAAATGAGATAGTTTTATCTATATATATATATAGAGGGAAACTTATTATTAAGCTTCTTTTTTCAAACTCTTAGAATTAGTCGAAACTATCTCATAATAGAAAAATGATTTCTCTCGTAAATTTATAAACTTCTTATATAATATATTAATAGAGAACTGTAAAGATTTAAACTTCTTATACTCTATTGTAAATATCTTGTTTCTTGCCATGCTCGTCTGAAATATCGTTTATTTTCGAAGGAATTTTTTTTTTCGTTCTATTTGAAAAAAAAAATTCTTTTTTTTAAAAATTAAAACGATATTTCAATAATTATTATAAACGAGCAATTGTTATTGTCTTAAATCTTTTTTACAAATCTGTAATATCATAAATAAGTTCCTTCGTTAGAGAATTATAACTATAAGTATAATAATATATAATATTAAGCGTTTAATAATTGACAAGCGTTTCTAATTAAGATGGGAATTTTCATTTTTAATAGATCTCGGAAAAAAAAATAGTTCTTTATTTAATCGGTTTTTATAATTTAGAAAGCTGATGGAAAATTAAGAAAATAATTTTTGCTAAATATATATATTTTTAAAGAAAATATATTTCTTAAAGTTACTTTTTTTTTCATTAGGTAAAATTCTAAAATATGAAAATTCCCATCTAATTTTTTAATCAGAAACTGCTAACTATATAATTAAACTCAGAAAGTTAAACTTCCATGGAAGATTAAGCGTTTGACTGTATGGTGCCTCTATAATACAATTTTCAGTAACGATCTTATGCGCCTTTCTGTAAGTCTGTAAACTCGAAACTACTCAAATCTCGTTACCATAATTATTATAAATAATATTCTCTCGACAGTCATTGTAGATTTATATATACACTTTGAAAATTCGCACAGTTAAATGTGCTTTCGATGTGATACTGAGTTTACTCTTATATTTTTAATTATTTCTTTTTAAGTAAAAAATTTACAAAAAAAAAGAAAGAAAGAAAACTAGAAAAAGTATTTTAAAAAATACTTCTTGTTTCAAAATTCTTAGTATGAGAAACTTTTTTTTTTTTAAATAAAAATTTGGTACCTTTATCTGTGCGACAGTTTAGCATTTTTAGTATAAAGACTGATATGTAGAGAAACTATAATTTAAATAGCAAAATTCTTCTAAATTATTTAAAATTGAAAATTAAATTTAATTGAAAAAGTATACGCAATTTATTTTTGAATAATATAAAGGGAAAAAATTCTGTAAATATAATAACTTGAATCAAATCTCATAGTTTTTACTCTTTGAGAAAATTTGTTGATGAATGTGTAAAAAAATAGTTGCGATTATGATGATATGAAAACTTTCATTCTTGCCTGTAAATTAATAATAATTATACCGATAAAATACTCAATAATTAAAAGAAATATTGTAAATAAGTAAAAAAAAAAAAAAAATTTGTTTTGAAAGAGAAAACACATCAAGTAGAATCCTGGTTATTATTTTTTTTTTATTTGAAACAAAATATCGTTATAAGTGTAACTATTCCTCGAAGTAAATCAAAATTCGCTCATTTCTATATAAATAGAATATAGCGTAATTTTTATATTTAAAACAAAAAAAAAAAAAAACAATTCTAAATAAAAAAGTTGAATTAAAAAAGAAAATTCTAAACTGAGATTTTTCGAATACAAAGACATTTTTTACAATTTATTTTTTATTATATAATTTATCGACAAATTTTTTTTTTTTATTTTATAATATTATGAAATTATATTGAAAATCAAATCAAATTCAAAAAATATATATTACCGATAACTGGGGTAATTATACCGACAAAAATGCTAATTTTTATAAAAGTTGATTCTTTCGATTATTTTGGAGGATCGAAAAATGATTTTTTTTACTAGTCTTTTTACTCAACAAGTCAATAAAGAATTCAAGAATTTCAATTTTTTGTCGTTGCATTCTTTCAGAAAAAAAAAATCATAAGTATTTCAGTATGAAAAATTGACGAAAAATTATTTTTGAGCAATTTATAAATTTTTTTTTATCAATTAGAAATTTTATTTTTTTTGAAAAAATGTAAAAGTTTCAAAATTTATTGTTCAGAATCATGAAAAAAATAGTAAAAAATTATTATTATTGAAAAATAATAGAAATTATGATACTAAGTTGAAATTTTAATTTTGTTAATTATGAATTTTACTTCAAAATTTAGTAATTTATTATAAAAAATAATTTTTTTTCAATATCGAAAAAAAACAATCTAAGGAAAAAATTTTAGTATTTAAATTTAAATATTTACACACCAAGCGGCATTTTTTATAAATATTTTAAAATTCAAATTTTATTCATTAAAAACTGTCGATGGGTATAATAGCCCCATTGAATGTTATAATTACCCCCAGTTGACTATATTTATTTTCTGATAGATTTAAAAAACGAATTTTCGTTTTTTTTTCCCCAAAAAATTCATTTTTTCAATAATTTAAATTAGTATAATGTATAAAAATAATAATCAATAATAATAATTTTTCAGTTTAAAAAATAAATGTAAAAACAAAAACCTCAAGATAATCGCAAATTGATAAAAAAAAAAAAAATAGTGAAGTATATAAACTGAAGCTAAATTCTAAAAAAAGTATATAATTATGTAAAACAAAATGTGAGTGAATCGTGTGAATCTGATAAAATCTTTGTAAATTTTTTCAAAATTTTAATTTTAGCGCACATTTTTCCAAAAGAACAAAAAACTAAGTTCTTCAAAAAAAAAAAATAAATAAATAAAAATAATCTGCCTTACTAGTAAAAAATATTTATTTTATTCACAATAATTCTTTTTTACTTTCAATTTTATTCTATATATGTAAATTTTTTTTCTATCAGAAATTTATAATGTTCGTATATGTGATTTTTTTTTATTCTCAAAAAACTTCATTTTCAAAGATCTGAAAAAAATCACATTTAAGTATTAAAAAAAAAAAAAGTGTATTTAGTGATTGTTTTAAAAAAAATTTATTTAATATCTCTTTAAGTTTGAACATTCTGTGATAAAATAATAATACATAATAAAGTGTTGTATATTTTTCTTAAAATTAGTCTTACCAGAGATTTTCTCTCAACTCTTTTTCATAAATACATAAAAATAATATAATTTTAAAATAAAATTTTCATGTAACTTTAAAAATTTATAAGCTATGTATTTATAGTAATTTGTTTACAGGTTTAATATTTAAAAAAAAATTGTTCATTTTTAAATTATTATTTAGAAATTATTAGAAATTGAAATAATTCAAAACTATTTTTGAATATTAAAAATGAGTTTCTTTCATTAAGAACCAATTCTATCGATTCTATAATAATTAGAGTAGGTAATATAAGTTAAAAAAAAATTTTTGTAAAAAAAATATGAAATATATTATATATATATTATACAATTTATATAATATTTATTATGTAATAATTAATAATAAATTTATTATTATATAAATGATATATTTCATATTTTTTTGTGGTTAATACACATCGAAAAGCTCAGAAGTGTAATTTTTTGCGGAAAAATGAAAAAAAAAAAAAAAAAACAACAAAATTTTCCCTCTTAAAAAGTGTAATTTCCCTATTTATGGTACATAATAGTTGAAATATATAAATATATTAATTAGCTCATTCGAAATTTCCTATAATATAGCTTTTAAATTTTTAAAATCCAAAAGAGAAAAAGAAAAACTTATGATAGAAAAAAAGAGGGAAATTTTATGTGATTTTATATACTCAACTATAATATAATATAATCAATTTATAAACTTTTAAATCTTTGTTCTCTTCTGTCGTCCTAATTTAAAAAAAACTGATTACATTTCGAGATATTTGACAAAATGCGCTAATTTTATTTTGTCAAACAAAATTGCAATTTCTGTTTTTTTTCTTCCAAATATGCAAAAACTGTATATATGCGCTTGTTAAGTGTAAATTCGTCTTTTCTTTCACGGATAAAAAAAGACTCATTTTTCGTAGAAAAAACAAAAAAAAAAAAATGTAGATAGCATATTTTTAAATCAGGACAGCAGTATTCACTTAACTTTTCAGTGTATTCGAAATGTTAAATAAACTTGAATTTTTGAATCTATCATTTTTAATTATTTTCAAGTATAATTTTAATTTATTTCTTTTTAATTACAATTCCATTACCACATTTCATTTTGATTCGCAGTAGGTAAATTTTTCAATTTGCGTCTAATCAAAATTATTTTAAAATAAGAATTTGAAAAATATTCCTTTTTTCAATTTTTCTGAATTTACTTTTTGTCGTGCTTTTTACGCCACACACACAAAAAAAAGTAGAAAATAAATTTTTAAATAAATTTTATTTTCAAAGAAAAATTATTTACAAAAAAGCAAATTATTTACAAACTATTTTCAAAAAATCTAGCTATATATATGTACAACAATATTTTATATTGACTTGTATTTGTAAAGATCACAAAGCAAAATATTTTCTAAGTACTTTTCTTCCTTTTAACTTTCAACTCCGTTTTTAATTCATGTTCCTCGAACTGATTTTCGATCCCTCTTGAAGCTTCCATCACTAATACAACATTAATGTTCTCGTTCAATCACAATTTGTCGCTGATTAAAAATTAATTAAAACATCGCGATTTCACGAAAAAAAAAAAAAAAAAAAGGAAAACAATTTCTTTTTTCATTTCTAAAGTAAATATATATAAATAAATAAAACTAAAAACATTAAAAAATTAATAAAATATTTTCAATAAAATTACTAAATATATTAAACTGGAATGTTAAACGTTAATAAAATTATAAAGAAATATATATTTTTTAAAGACTAGTATAAATGATAAAGTAAAATTTTTTTAATTAAAAAAAAAGTTTCCTTCGCTTTACCTGGTATAACGTTTTAAACGTTCTATAGTTTTCTCCTTTCCAAGAATCTCCATCATATCTGCAATACCTGGTCCAACCTTGAAAAAAAAGTTTAATAAATTTTTATTTATGAATAAAACAAAGATAAAATGAATCAGGTATTACTGTACGTTTTATTCTCAAAAGAAAAAAAAGTGAAAAGATGATTTTTTCCAGAAAAAGGTGACAAAAAAAAATAGACGCATGCATAAGGTTCTAAAAATTAAATTGTTAGAATTTTCATTTGATTGAATTTCATTATCTATAGAATTCACTTTTAGTCGATTTTCATTTCTTCAAATTAGTTTTTACAGAATTATAACACGAATTTCTTTTTCTACAAATTTTAAATTAAATTTAAATTTTACAGATGACATGAAGAACAGTTTTTTTGATTAAATTTTATTAATAAACAATCTAAAAAACTGTTTAAAATAAAAAATTTTAAATATTAAGTACATCCCAAGACGAGAAGAATCTATTTTTTGTTTCAAATTTATCAACTGGATCACGAGAAAATTTTTTTTTTTATCTAAAGGAGGATTCCAATGTGAGTATTTAAATTAAAATAGCCACTTTGTTCATTTTCACTATTTTTGAAAGTCAATAAATTTCATGGAGAAAAATGAAAAAATATGGGGTTTCGAAAATTATTTAAATATACATACACTGAAAATTTTGCGTTGGTCTCGAAGCTATTTTCGAAGATAAAAAGGTTTAAAATTTTCGTATTTTTAAGACTATATTGATAACGGTATAAAAAGGGTTTTTAAATCAATGTGAAGTTTATCGACACCTTTGAACTAAATTCACATTTATTTAAAACATTTTTTGCTCAAATTCTATATATGAAGTATTTTTTTTTTATTTTTTTTAATTGATAAAAATTGTGGAAGTTATAATTTTTTTTTAAACTTCACGTCTTTAGAAGCAATAAAGTGCTTTTGAAACACATTTTTCTATATAAAATTATATAAAATTTCTTCAAGTTTTCTTCAATATTTTAAAAAAATGTAGTGAAAAATAATGCAATTGCAATTAAATAAATTAAAAATATGTGTAAAAGGTTTCAAAATCGAAAAAAGGTAAAGAAAATTGAAAAAATAATGTCTGAGTTTTTTTTTTAGGGTCAGTCGGGGTAAATCCGAACGGGGGGTAAATCCGAACGCTAATTATTTCAGCTTAATTAAAATTTTTAAAAATAAGTTCGATATGAGAATTTTTACCTCAGATCCTCTTGAAGAGATTCTAAGTATTATCCCATTTTTTGTTTGTTAATTAGCAACAGCATAAACAAAGATAACGAGTATTGCAAAAAAGATTGAAAATCAAAGATGACACTCTTTCAGTATTTTGTCTCGTATTTGAAGAAAAAGAAGCTAAAAATTCATTTTATTATTTATAATTGTTTGTTATGAATACTAGAACAGAAACTATATTTGATTTTTGCCTTCTGTAAAATTTTATTAATAATATCAGACCGTTCGTATTTACCCAAGAAAATTGGAAAACTGGGGTAAATCCGAACGGTATTTTTAATAATTTTTTTTTACATCAAAGCCACACAAAATTGTTTTTATTTGATTACACTATTATTTTAACATTATAAAAGTAAATAGAAAAAAGTTTTTCTTTCTATACGTATCCTCGTTAGTAATTAATAAGCAGAAACTTAATCTCTGTTCTCTCGAAGGAGTGTTTCAATTTTTTTGCCAAATGGTTTGTTGAAAAAAGTTTTTCAGGATCTTAATAAAATTTGGTATTCTACGGTTTTTGGGGTCGCTAATTACCAATTTGAAGTCAGTTTTTCAAAATTCAAAATGGCGGACGAGAATTAAAAAATTCATTGGATTCGCTCGAAAATTGTTACTCGGGGGGTTTCAGGGTTAGCAAATTTGATCATTTTTAAAAATAAGTTTTAGGAAAGTACGCCATTTTGAATTTAAAAAATTTGACTTTTATTTTTGTATTTACATTCAATCACTCCAAAATACTTTCTGTAGCAAGTTTTGCAAAAATCCGTTATGATTTGATAAAGTTATTGAAGGTTTTAATTGTGTAATGCATTTTAATTTTTAACCTGTTTGATTTTTGTATTTATATATGATGCATTATTACATAATAGGTTTATTATCGTATTTTTTTTGAGTTTTTATATAAGTTTAACAATTGCAATACTTTAAATTTATTTTCCCTAAGATTTTTCTGAAATACAGTGGCGTTCGTATTTACCCCCATATTTTAGGAAAGTTGCAAAGTATCGAGGTAAATACGAACGCTAAGTTTCCTGCGATTGTAATTTATCAAAAATTTTTTCTACCCCATAAAATTGTTCTATGGAAGTAAAGTAACAACTTCATGCACCAGAATACCGGAAGTATTTTTTTTTTAAAGAAAAAACTTATGTTATTGTTGAAACTTACTAAAAGCGTTCGGATTTACCCCAGTTGACCCTATATAAAATTACCAACCTTCAGTCCACTAAGTAGAGATCGAAGTGTTTTCATAAATTCAGGATATGAAACACCATTATTTTTCGACAATTCTCTTATAAATGATAAAATAACATCTTTCTCAATATTATCATCCTTAGAATCTGCTAATTTTTCAATTAAAACCTGCACCATTTCTGTTAATAAAATCAATAATGTAAAATATTTAAATACATTATTATTATTATTATTATTCTAAATTCATTTTTTTCTAAAGCTGTAGTTGAAAAAAGAAAATAAACATACCAATATGTTTCGAATCTTTTGAAATTTGAGTCAAAGGCGGAATAATCCACAAAAATGACAAATCCGATGAAACTAAATCTGTTAATTTTGTTATTCTATTTTTTGCCCATTTCAAAGTGGAAAGTATATTTTCATCGTCCAATTTTAAACTGCCATCTTGTTTTCTAAAGATTAAAATTATTATTAAATAAAAAAAAAAGAAAAAAAAAATTTTAATTTTGACACAAAATAATATATTATACCTCTCGGGAAAAGTCTCCTGCACCATATTAACAATACTGGAAATAAAAATTCTATTATTTTTTTCATTTTCTAATAAACTTGATAATTCGAGTTGATTAAATTCTTGCAATTTCACAGGATTTAGTTTTGAAGAGTTTGGCTTTATTTTTTTAACAGCAAACTGAAAATAATTTAATTTTTATATATAATTATATAAATATCGAGAAGTTGAATAAAAAAATTTAAAAAAAAAAAAATTACCTGGTTTATTAAATCCTCATAATTATAACATTCTTGTGTTCCTTGTTCTCTTTTAAATCCACCGCCTGTTGTTGTTATATAATTTATTAAAGCTACCGGAAATATTCCATTTTGTCTATAATATTCAACACGTATATTATCTTGTCGTTTGGAAAGTTTTGATCCATCAGAATTTAAAATTAAAGGTAAATGTCCAAAATGTGGAGGTGTCCAACCAAAAGCTCTAAAAAATTTCAATATTGTACACATTTTTATCAAAAATTTAAATTAAAATAAATTTACACTTTTTCTTCCAATAAATAGTGCCTGAAATTCTGAACGTTCAAATGAACGAAAAATTTATTTACTACTTTTTTAACTTCAAAGTTTATTACAAAATTTTTGCATTTAAAAATACATTAATAATAATTAATTAAATTTTTCCTGTAATTTTTTATTTTTTATTGTCGTAGTAATTTAAAAAAAAAATTTATAAATCCCAAAAAATGATTTTGTTCATTTGAACGTTTAGAATTTCAGGCACTTAATAATTGAAATGAAAATTATAATTAATTTAATTTTCTAAAATAATGAAAAAAGTTTATGGGCGATTCCACGAAATATACTTTTAAATTTGGATAAATTTTTTTTTCGTTCTTTACAGAAAAAATGGAATAAGTTGTATTTATTTTTTTATAAGTGCCCAAATTTTCGAGTTATGAATTTTTAAAAATCTGGGTTTTTCGGGGTTTTTAAAAAGCAGGTATATTTTCAATGTCTAACTCTAAAGTATTAAATAGGAATTTAATACTTATTATTAAATAATAATAATTATTTAATGTTGTCCAGAGAATAAAAAGGTTTCAGTTTTTCTTCGACTTTCAAAATAATATGTTAACGAGAAAATTAAAAAAAAATTTTTTATATAAAAAATAACAATGTTTTATGATCAAATTAATTTTTTTCTAACTATGGATCCGATTTTTTATAATTTTTTTTTTTTATTTTTACATACCTGGAAGTACTAGGAAGATTCTCCAAAATGTTTTGTTGTGGGCCTGATCCTTTTTGTTTAAAACAATTTTTTTTTAAATTTGCTTTTTGAAAGTTTTCAAAATAAAAAGGTTTTTTATTCACTAGGATCCTTCACTTCAATCATAGAAAAGCAAATTAAAATACATTTAAAAAAATAAATAAATAAAAAACGAATAAAAAACTGTTTTTTAAAAATTATTTAAGGAAGAATAATTATCTCTTACTTCTTAGTACTTTCAGGTATGAAAAATAAAAAAAAAAAAGGTAAAAAAATCGAGTCGTTTGAAAAAAAATAATTTGTTTACAAACAATTGTCATTTGTTATATGAAAATGCAAAAAAAAATTTTCTCATTAAAATATTTCGAAAGTCGAAGAAAAACTGTAACTTTTTTTCCTCTTGGCAAAATTAAATAATTATCTTTATATAATTATTAACAGTTATTAAATAAATAATATTAAATCTTAATTTAATACTTTTAGAATTAGATATCATTGAAAATAGTAAATCTACTTTTTTAAAAAATTTCGAAAAATCCAAATTTTTAAAAATTCGTAACTCGAAAATTATATTTATCCGAATTTAAATGGTCATAGGTTAATTTCACGTGGAATTGCTCATATAATTTTAAAGTAATAAAAATAAAAAATTTGTAAAAAAAAAAAAATAATAAACGAACTTGTAGAGCAACAAGTGCTTTTGAGTGGAAATCTGCCATTCAACGCCTCTGAGGACGTGTGAAATTCTCATATAATGATCGTCGACTATATTTGCAAAATGATAAGTGGGATATCCATCAGTTTTCATAATCACAGGATCACCTTCAGTGGAAGCGTCAAAAGTTATATCTCCATATACTAAATCTTTAAAAGGACTTGGTGTTGGTGAAAGCTATTTACCAAAAAATAAATAAATAAAAAAAACAAAATAGTTACTATAAAATCAAGTTCTTCTATAGGAAATTTTTTTTTTTTTTTTGTAAACTTTCATGAAAAGGGATTAAAAAAATACTAAATACCTTAAATCTAATACAGTAAGCTTCTTCCATATCTATTTTTTCTTTAACCTTATCTTTACTCAAATTTCGGCATCTATTGTCATATTTAGGCATTTCACCAAGTCGATTTGCTTCACGTTTTATTAATTCTAATCTTCGATCTGTACAGAAACAATGGTACGCTGATCCATTATCCAAAAGTTTCTTGACATTTTCTCTGTAATATAAATTTAAAAGATCCATCTCAATATCCCGCATAATATATTAATTACAAAATTTTCATTTGAAAAAATTTCACAATGAATTGAATTTTCATTTCTTTGAATTAGAAAAAAATTTCAATTTCCTTGACATTTTTCTGGTAATAAAAAATTTTTCCTAACAAAAATTGGCATAAAAAATTTAATAAATTATAAAAAAATCTAATAATTTGAAGTTTAAAAAATGCAATTTTTTTACTATAATTCAGTCTTTTCACATTTTTCTTGAAAATAGGTGAATAGGGGAATTATTTACCGAAAATAATTGATAAAAAAAACTATGATAATTAAAACCAATTAACGTGCAAAATAATTAATTTTGTTCTTATGGAAATTTTTCATAAATGATTGAAGATATTATGTAATAGTTAAAAATTTAGGTAAATTAATTTTTTTTTTTATTTTTATTTGTAACAAAATATCGATCCAAAATAACAACTTTTGGATAAATTGAACTTCAGATAATTTGAAACTTAAATAAATAAAAATTGGGATAAATTAAAATTCAAATAATTTGAAATTTAAATCAATTAAAATTTAAACAAATTCAAATTTGGTTAAATTGAATTTTGGATTTGATTGAATTAATTAGAACTAGAATGAATTTAAATTTAGATCAATTTTTAATTTAATCAAATTTTAATCAATAAATGCTTCAATTTTCAATAAATTAAAAACAAGAAGTATTGGAATCTTGTTTTTAGATTTAAATGAAAGCTTGGGTCTTAAAGAACAATTTCACCAAAGGAAAAATTTAAAGGTATTACGCTAAGTTTAAAATTCATTTTTTCATTTGCGTTTAATTTTATCACTTATTATTATTTGATTAACACCATGCGTATAATCTTAGCACTGTGAAAAATTGATAAACAAATGAATTTGACTGCCTTGAAATTTAAAAATATTTTATATGATTTCCAGGTTACCTATCGATTATTTATTATCATTAAATTAAATAATTAGTGATAAACTTAAATAAATTTTGTTATTTATTTAAATATTTATTTATCCCCTTGATTGATTAAAATTAAATTTTTAATTATAGAGAAAATATTTTGTCATCATCGAAAGTATAAAATTATAAAATTTTCTATTTTGCTTATTATTACAATATTCCATAGTATTGAAGAATAATAATTGTGCTAAGTGATGTTATATAAATCTCGAAACAAAAACAGTGTAAATAAAAAAAAAATTGCTAATTCATATTAAATTATATTTTATAATCCGATATTTTAAGAAAATAATTTAAAAAAAATTTTAATTCATAAGTATTCTGAAAATTATATAAAACATTTTCAAATTTCATAACGTAATTACTTTAATTTTTCTTTATGATTCAAGTTTTCATTTGAATCTAAGAATGAGATTTTAGCATCTATTGTTTTTAATTTATTCAAATTTAAATATGGCAAAAAAAACCCGCTTTTTTGACTTTTTAACACTAATTTTCTTAAAAAGTAGACATGCTAGAGCATTTTTCTTTGCAGATTCGTAATTAACGAGATAAAATCTATCGAAACTGACCAGAATCATCCCGGGGACAGAAAAAAAAAGTTAATTTATATTTTCTAAAAGAAAAGTTCTAGTAATTTAAATATTTTAAGGTATAATATGTATTACAAAATTATACTTTTTAGAAATCACCAATTTTGAAAAGTATCAATTTTTGTATTTTAGTTTTTAATTCAAAAATTGTTATTTTCTTTGATAAAAATATAAATATTTTACTTTGATGTTTTTATTATTAAATTTATCGTTTTAAATATTTATATTAAAAAATGTGAAATATGAAATAAACTTTTGAAAAATGTAATGTAAGTAAAAAGAAATTTGATGTAAATCAAAAAAATCAGATTAAAATCGAAAAATCGGATTTTTAAAAAATTGGTTTTTGAAAAATCATAATTTTTATCATCTCTGAAAAACATTAAAATCTAACAAATATATGTGGCGGTCCACGCTATTCCAACATATTATCGACTTGGACATTTTTGATTTCGCTCAAATTTTTTTACCTTTTTTTACTCATTGAAAAAGAGCTTCCTGATTTTTTTCAAATTTTTCAAAAAAATTTTTTTTTTGAAAGCTCATAACTTTTTAATAAATGCTCCAATTTTAATTTTTTTTTTCAAATTAACTTTTCAAAACTTTCATGCAAAAAATTAAAAAAAAATTATTAACCTTATTTTTTGTAATTTCAAGATAAAAATCTTATTTTTAAAAGTGTTTGTATATTTTGATTTTTTTCAAAAAATTTTCAAAAAAAACTACTTCTTATAACACAAATTTTAAGCCTAGTGTCCGGTCGTGGGAAAACAATTTTTAATATTTTTTTTCAAATTTTTCAAAATTTTTAAACATTTGTTTTTTACTCAAATATGATTTCTAATGTTTCAGTAAAAGAGTTAATTAATAAAAACTTATAAATGAAGGTAATTATAATAATAAACTTGTATTTGGAACTAAAATTTTGATCTTTTTTTTTTAATCCAATTTTTTGACGTTTAAATATTTTGCAAGAATAATTCTCATTTGAGCTGGAAAATATCCGCATAGTTAAAGATCCATCTTTATTTGGGATTGCACAATGAAATTGTTGTGTACCCTGAATAGTTTTTGCCTTTGTATATCGAAGATTAAGAACTTCGGTTGCCTCGTTGTAATCTTCGAATGAGGAAAATTTGAAATCAATATTTTGGAAACTACTCGAATTTTTAGCCCATTCATATAGTTCCTGTGAAGTTGGAATTTTTTTTATAAAATTACAACTGAAGACTTGTCCGTGCTGCTGCTCGTTTTACGGTACCTCCGACACCATCCCAAGGCCCTTTGCCATGATAACTCGCGAAAAAGTGCCATTCAGCATATATTTTAAAATCCTCTTCATAATAATAAAGATAAACAAAATTTTTGAAATTTTTAAATTGTTGCGGGGCTCCATCCGAAAAATACACAATTTGAAAAAAAATTAAAATTGGTGCATTTATCAAAAAGTTATGAGCTTTAAAAAAAAAAATTTTTTGAAAAATTTATATCTCGAAAACGGCTTTATAAAAAAATTTGAAAAAAATCAGGAAGATCTTTTTTAATGAGTAAAAAAAGGTAAAAAAAATTTGAGCGAAATCAAAAATGTCCAAGTCGATGATATGTTGGAATGGCGTGGACCGCCCCATACGTCCGAGAAGTTGGCAACGCCATTTCATTTTTTCAAAAAATCAATTTTTGTGCTAAATTTTGCTAATTTTGTGCTAATTTGTGCTGCAAAAATTTTTTTGAAAAAATTAAAAATAGGGGTCAAAAATTTAAAAAAACAGTTTTTGGCAAAAAATTTATGATTCACTTTTATTCTAAACAAATCATTTGTCCAGTTATAATGTAACAACAATACAATCTACCAAAAAAATTAAAAAAATTTTTTTTTTTTTAAATACAAAAATTTAATATTCAAAATTAAAATTTTTAACCATAAAACGGAAAAAATATCAATATTTACGAAAATAAATTTTCCTGCTATATTCTGCAAGACAAGCACAAAAATAATCTCTAAAAACATTTTTGAAAAACTGTGTTTAATTAAAAGAAATTGCAATTTTATTACTCAAAATTAACATTTTTAACCCTAAAATGGGTAAATATCAAAATTTCTCAAAATCAATTTCTGTGCTGTATTCTACAATACTAGCACAAAAATAATCGCAAAAATATTTTTAAAAAACTGAGTTCAATTAAAAGAAATTGCAATTTTATTACTCAAAATTAACATTTTTAACCCTAAAATGGGCAAATATCAAAATTTTTGAAAATCAATTTTTGTGCTGTATTCTACAATAGTAGCACAAAAATAATCTCAAAAAACATTTTTAAAAAACTGAGTTTAATTAAAAGAAATTGCAATTTTATTACTCAAAATTAACATTTTTAACCCTAAAATGGGTAAATATCAAAATTTCTCAAAATCAATTTCTGTGCTGTATTCTACAATACTAGCACAAAAATAATCGCAAAAATATTTTTAAAAAACTGAGTTCAATTAAAAGAAATTGCAATTTTATTAATAAAAATTAAGATTTTTAACCCTAAAACGGGCAATTATCAAAATTTTGAAAAATCAATTTCTGTGCTGTATTCTACAATACGAGCACAAAAATAACCTCTAAAAATATTTTTAAAAAATTGTAATTTCGTTTAATTTTACCCACATAGCACGACTTCTTGCTGTGAGGTTACTGTAAGAATATCTGTAGGGTTTGTAATGTTAGCGTGTAAGCGTGCAGTAAACTTGAGGTCATCTTAAAACTTCCGCCTTACAGTAAGCTTACACAGTAAAGCTAGGTAAGCTTACACAGTAAGGTCGTGGTAAGTTTACATGGTAAGGTTGTTGTAAGCTTCCCGTAAGGTTACTGTAAAGTTACTGTTAATATAAAGTAATATGAAAATATATTAAAAATAATTATATTATAATATATACTATATATTATAAATTTTTTTGTATAAAAAATGATATATTTGGTAAAGTACTTTATAAACCCCAATAGGGTTTGTCAAATAAAAGTTACTGCGCAGCCGTATGTGCCATAGAACACTACTGCGCATAAATATTAATAAATTTTATTTATTAACAACATTCTATGTTTATAGTAACCTTACATCAACCTTACAGTAACCTTAAAGGAAGCTTACAACTATCTTACCGTGTAAGCTTACCACAACTTTACCATGTAAACTTACCACGACCATACTGTGTAAGCTTACCTTAGCTTTACTGTGTAAGCTTACTGTAAGGCGGAAGTTTTAAGATGACCTCAAGTTTACCGCAGGCTTACACAGTAACCTTACAAATCCTACAGATATCGTTACAGTAACCTCCCAGCAAGAAGTCGTGATATGTGTGTACAGTTTTTCTAAAATATTTTTATAGGTCATTTTTGTTCAAAAAAATTGATTTTCAAAAGTTTTGATATTACCCCTCTTTAGAGTTAAAAATTTTATAAATTATATTTATAGATTTAAAATCTTAATTTTGAGTAATAAAATTGCAATTTCTTTAAATTAAACACAGTTTTTCAAAAATTTTTTTTGAGATTATTTTTGTGCTAGTATTGTAGAATACAGCACAGAAATTGATTTTGAGAAATTTTGATATTTACCCATTTTAGGGTTAAAAATGTTAATTTTGAGTAATAAAATTGCAATTTCTTTTAATTAAACTCAGTTTTTTAAAAATATTTTTGCGATTATTTTTGTGCTAGTATTGTAGAATACAGCACAGAAATTGATTTTGAGAAATTTTGATATTTACCCATTTTAGGGTTAAAAATGTTAATTTTGAGTAATAAAATTGCAATTTCTTTTAATTAAACTCAGTTTTTTAAAAATATTTTTGCGATTATTTTTGTGCTAGTATTGTAGAATACAGCACAGAAATTGATTTTGAGAAATTTTGATATTTACCCATTTTAGGGTTAAAAATGTTAATTTTGAGTAATAAAATTGCAATTTCTTTTAATTAAACTCAGTTTTTTAAAAATGTTTTTTGAGATTATTTTTGTGCTAGTATTGTAGAATACAGCACAAAAATTGATTTTCAAAAATTTTGATATTTGCCCATTTTAGGGTTAAAAATGTTAATTTTGAGTAATAAAATTGCAATTTCTTTTAATTGAACTCAGTTTTTTAAAAATATTTTTAGAGGTTATTTTTGTGCTCGTATTGTAGAATACAGCACAGAAATTGATTTTTCAAAATTTTGATAATTGCCCGTTTTAGGATTAAAAATCTTAATTTTTATTAATAAAATTGCAATTTTTTTGAATTAAACACAGTTTTTCAAAAAATTTTTTTGAGATTATTTTTGTGCTAGTATTGTAGAATACAGCACAGAAATTGATTTTGAGAAATTTTGATATTTACCCATTTTAGGGTTAAAAATGTTAATTTTGAGTAATAAAATTGCAATTTCTTTTAATTAAACTCAGTTTTTTAAAAATATTTTTGCGATTATTTTTGTGCTAGTATTGTAGAATACAGCACAGAAATTGATTTTGAGAAATTTTGATATTTACCCATTTTAGGGTTAAAAATGTTAATTTTGAGTAATAAAATTGCAATTTCTTTTAATTAAACTCAGTTTTTTAAAAATATTTTTGCGATTATTTTTGTGCTAGTATTGTAGAATACAGCACAGAAATTGATTTTGAGAAATTTTGATATTTACCCATTTTAGGGTTAAAAATGTTAATTTTGAGTAATAAAATTGCAATTTCTTTTAATTAAACTCAGTTTTTTAAAAATGTTTTTTGAGATTATTTTTGTGCTAGTATTGTAGAATACAGCACAAAAATTGATTTTCAAAAATTTTGATATTTGCCCATTTTAGGGTTAAAAATGTTAATTTTGAGTAATAAAATTGCAATTTCTTTTAATTGAACTCAGTTTTTTAAAAATATTTTTAGAGGTTATTTTTGTGCTCGTATTGTAGAATACAGCACAGAAATTGATTTTTCAAAATTTTGATAATTGCCCGTTTTAGGATTAAAAATCTTAATTTTTATTAATAAAATTGCAATTTTTTTGAATTAAACACAGTTTTTCAAAAAATTTTTTTGAGATTATTTTTGTGCTAGTATTGTAGAATACAGCACAGAAATTGATTTTGGGAAATTTTGATATTTACCCATTTTAGGGTTAAAAATGTTTATTTTGAGTAATAAAATTGCAATTTCTTTTAATTAAACTCAGTTTTTTAAAAATGTTTTTAGAGATTATTTTTGTGCTTGTCTTGCAGAATATAGCAGGAAAATTTATTTTCGTAAATATTGATATTTTTTCCGTTTTATGGTTAAAAATTTTAATTTTGAATATTAAATTTTTGTATTTAAAAAAAAAAAAATTTTTTTTAATTTTTTTGTAGATTGTATTGTTGTTACATTATAACTGGACAAATGATTTGTTTAGAATAAAAGTGAATCATAATTTTTTTGCCAAAAACTGTTTTTTTAAATTTTTGACCCCTATTTTTAATTTTTTCAAAAAAATTTTTGCAGCACAAATTAGCACAAAATTAGCAAAATTTAGCACAAAAATTGATTTTTTGAAAAAATGAAATGGCGTTGCCAACTTCTCGAACGTCCGCCCCATATATATATATATATATATAAATTGAATGCATCGATTACTGATAGATTTCCAATCGTCTTGATTGAATATACGGTCCTGATGGACCACCTCTAATCGGATCTTCATCTGGAATAATTCCTGCCCACAATAAATCATCGTGCAATTGTTCCATTGCACCAGGAACTACTCTCGTTTGATCTGTGTCCTCGATTCGTAAAATAAACGAACCATTATATTTACGAGCGTACAAATAATTGTATAATGCTGTTCGTAAACCTCCAAGATGCAAAAATCCTATTTTAAATATAAACAAATATTTTCTTAAAATTCTTTTAATTTTCAAAACAAAAAATTACTTTTTAAATATAACGACACAAGGTCAAAAAATATTATTTTCATTTACGAAAAAGAAATTAAATTTCTATAATCTATTTATAGTTTTTATTTTTTCACTTAAAACTCTTGAATATGTAAAAAAATTAAAAAAAAATAAGATTTTTTTTTTGCGCGCAAAAATCGAATGAAAAATTATTCAAAAAACGGTATAGAAATAAAATAATAATTTTACCTGTTGGACTTGGAGCAAAACGTACGCGTACTGGTTGTTTCTTGTAAAATCTCTTTTGAATCAATTGAATATTAAATAGTTTACGCATTTTATCAAAATTTAAAAATTCACCTTTAATAGTGCGTTGTACAAAACGCAGATAACATAACCTTATATTAAGATATATATATTGACAATAATGAGAATTATGAAAAGAACATAGTAAAAGATGTTTCTGTAAAAGTGTGTTGAATAAAATTAGTTCATTTCCTTGTATTGTTTAACTTGTTTAATAGTATTGTTCAACTTTTTATTGAAATAATTCACTTGTAAATATGTACTCATTGAAGAACACGTGCGAATGCAGCTTCAAAACGATCAGCTGACTGCGACTTTGGTCTGCTCTCACACGCTGTATTGTTACTGTGACGTCATGAATTCAAAATTTTAACTTTTCATTATATTCAACTCAATTAGTATACAAACAGCATTTTTAACACATATGATAGATGTTAAATAATTACAAATTAATGAATAATTGTTCATTTTTTCTTATTCATTTACTTATTATTAATCATTTAATATTGTTTTTTTTTTTACAATTTCACCCCTGACCAAACCAGGGAGGAATGAGGTAGGATGCAGGGTCGAAATCGATCCTCATTCCGCCAAAACAAGTCGCATATGCACGCGCATTAAGGTTCAGGCAAAAATAATCCTTATTGTAATTGACAACGTTCTCCCTTTTCTCGCGAGTTTCCTCTCTAGATGTTATTTCTGAAAATTTGTTTTTCTAACCACAATTGTCTTGTTTCGTCAATGCTATAAGAAACAATTAAATTGTAACGAATAAACCAGATAAGTATAATCTGACCTGGAATTCATCGCTGAAGACGAATATCGTTTAATTTTGTCAATTTATTAAGTTTTCATGAAAATATTTACGTTTTTCTTAAAAGTATTATTGGTGGGGGTCGAGGTGGCGAAATATTGTAAAATTCATTTTTATGTTTGCATTTTTAGTTCTATTGTGTGAAAATATGAAAAAGAGTAAAGCCGACTAAACAAGCGACTCAAGTAGCCATATCATAGTTATGTTCACGGGGGGAAATATAAAATATAAGTTTTATTTTCATTTTATTTTAAGGAGGTTCAAACTTCAACCCATTAACATAACTACAAATATATTCAAAATTTATTACACCCAAATTCGACAAATCCAATTGTACAATTTTGGAAAAAAATTATTTTTTGAGTTAAAATTTATTTTTAAATAATAATTAATAAACATTTTGTATTTTTTATTAAAAGTTAGTGAACAATTATAATTTTAACTCAATTTTTATAAACAATTGCTCATTTTTCTCTTTAAAAGATTCTCTACAATTCTGATTTTGTGTTTTTGTTAATAATAATGGTTTGTTTAAAAAATATAAAAAATAAAAATTTTATTTGTTTATTAACTTTTGATCAAAATATTTTTAATAAAATTCAACAAACAGAATTGTAGAAAATCTTTTAAAGAGCAAAATGAGCTATTGTAGTTTATTTAATATTTAATTAATTAATATTTTTCAAGCATATTCTTATACAGAATTAGATTGCGCATCTTTTTTTCTTAATAAGAAATTTTCCATCTTTTTCCGCGTTTTCGAAATACTTATAAGAGAAAAACTGTTTTTTTAAAAAAGAAAATTTTCATTGTTTTTTTGACTTCAACTCGCGAAAGCTCAGACAATTTTACGAATTTCTTAATGAAACAAAAACGAAAATACGTGTTACTATATTCTACGAGAGACTAAAAAAAAAGTTGTTTTGTTTAAAAATAAAAAAGTTATTAATTTTTTAATGAAACATTTCAAAATTCATGAACTGCAATTTTCACCCTGTGAGGTATTTTCGTAAATTTTCACCAGCAACAAACTTACAGTGAGAAAGTTGTTCATTAAGGGCCAAAGAAGTTTTCTGGAAAGTTACAATGCAATTGAACAATTAATAACAAAATGGCGAATGTTTAAACTTTAAAGTTGCGCGAGCGGCTGAACGTTTGGCATGTGTTTGCTACGTAATCGAGCTTATTATGGAGGTTCTACAATAGGTGCAAAAGCCAAGTACAAGTGCAAGTCCATATGCAAATCCCATGAGTGCAAGAGAGATAGATAGACTACCTATCCCCTTCGCACTCATGAGATTGCCACTTGGACTTGGACTTGTACTTGGCTTTTGCACCTATTCTGGAACCACCTTTAGGCCCTCTCCAGAATGGAGCTAAATGCAACGCAAACGCGACGCATCCCCATTTGCTTAGGTCCATTCCACAATAGCTAAACGCAAAGTTAAAGCGCACGCAAAGATGACGCGCGCGTTGGTTTGGTTGGTTAGAACCAAATATAAAAAATAAAAATTTTATTTGTTTATTAACTTTTGATCAAAATATTTTTAATAAAATTCAACAAACAGAATTGTAGAAAATCTTTCAAAGAGCAAAATGAGCTATTGTTTGTAAGAATTGCATAAAAATTACAATTGTTCACTAATTTTTTAAGAAAAAAAACAAAATATTTATTAATTATTATTTAACAACAAATTTTAACTCAAAATAATTTTTTTCTAAAATTGTACAATTGGATCTGTCGAATTTGGGTGTAATAAATTTTAAATATATTTTTAGTTCTGTTAAAAACTACTTTTTAGTTTGAGGTTATGTTAATGGGTTGAACCTTCTTCAGTCCATGTGGAAAATACCCACGTGACCCCCATGCAAAAAAACATGGTATCGTATTTCCAAGTTTTCTCTAAAGTGGTAAAGAATTTTTGGTTGAAATTTGGAAAATATGATAGAGGAAATGGTATTTTCCTTTATTAAGAAATTATCTATTATTTTCAAATAACAGAAACAAAGAAGTCTTTCAAATAAAGAAGCAAAATATACACCCAACAGCGCCAGACATGTAGTCGGTTTACTTATGCGAACTGGCGATAAGTCAAAATCCCTACAGTACAATGTGAGTGCATCGAAAAAATTAAGATGGCCGCAAGTCAAATCATAAAATAATGGTTTCTGTTTTGATAAGTTCAGTCAATCCCTGTAACCACCTTAATGTGTGATACAAATTCTTTTAAATCTAATTTCAATTCAACCAAAATTCATCGATATAAAATTTTTTTTTAATGTGAAATCCACTTTATAAAACTTTGCTGAATAGAAATTCAATAATTTAAGATTTGACGCCGCAGAAATTCTTATAAGTTAAATGTGAGGAATATTCATAGGTCCCACTAATTTTTTCAAATAATTCATTGTTTTATTTAAAAAAATTTGATTTTTTTCGTTTAAATTAATTATTTGTTTGATCGAAATATTTTTAATAAAATAATGTATTAGCAATAAATAATAAATTATTTGTATTAATAAATAATTTACTTTCCTTGAACCATTAAATTAAATTTGTTGTATCAAATAATTTTTATTTATATTAAAAAAACAAATATTTCACTGAAAACATAACCTCAAATTTCAAAATCCGTAAATTATAATTTTGTAAACACAAGATATGATTTAACAATATTTAAATTTAGAATTTTGTTATTATATAATCATTTAATTATTATATATTTTCTGTATTTTACATCACTTTCTATAAATAACTGCACGCATTTTTTGTTTGCTTTCAGTCTAATCTTTATAACCATTCACCAGAATTATGTTTTTAGCTATACATTTTGAATACTGTAAACGAGGAATTTCAAAATCTTTATTATAAAGTGACAAAGTATAAATTTTGAGCCCCTGTATTCTAGAAGGGCACGTAAAAAATTTTTATGATAAACGATATTTTAAGAAATAATTTTTTAAAATAAAAATTCTATAATTTTTTGCCTAAAAAATATTTTTTTTATAATTTGCTGATTAATGAAAACTACAACAAATAATTTTTTAAAATAAAAAATTACAGAATTTTTCATTTTAAAAAATTTTTTCTTCAAAAATCGTTTATCATAAACGTTGCGTACTACAGCTTCGTATGAATCTTCATTTCTTACTAATTTTCTTAAATATTTGCGTCGAACTTGTTTGATATTTGCAACTGGCTATAGCATTTTTTATTATTATTGTAATTAAATCTAATGTATTGATGCTCAGCAAAAAGCAAGAAATTTTTTTCAGAGATGTTTAATTATCTTTATTCCAGGAATCTATTATAATTTACCTTTTTTGAATGTAAATAATTAAATCTTATTAAATATATTTATTATATTATTCAAATTTAAAAAAATTATTGGTTCTCTTGACACTAATAACACTAGGAATTTTTGAGGTTGAGGTTTTGATATCAACATTTAATTCAATGTGTCAAAACTGTACTTTATTATCAATACATAACCATTATTGTCTAATAATTTATTCAAAACATGTGTATTACGGTTATTTTCAACTTGTCAAAATATTTGAATATTATTCTTCCTTTAAGAGGATTTTTTCGAGAGGAAAATCCTTCTAAATTAAGATTATTACTTTTGATACCAAAATTAAGAGGAAATTATGCATTACATTTATTATTTAGAGTTATCCTCTATTTGGGCATTGCGAAGGTAAAATACACCTATTGGACTGAAGTTCCCTTACATATCCTTCTTTGCATTCACAGCCAGGATGACAAACCTATAAATAAAATCAAATGTAAGGTTTAAACATATTTTCAAAAAAAAAAGTTATTGCAATTATTTTTATTGCCTAAAATTGAATTGAAAATTTAATTATATTAAAGTACTGTTCAATAATGATTGTTTTTATATATGTAGTTAATAAAAGAACTTACCAAGTCATTTACACACTTCCAATTATTTGGAATGAGGCATGTGTTGTGACAAGAACTTGAAACTCCACACCTGTCGAAAATTTCATTGGGTCCACATTGACGTTGATTGTTCGCCGGCAGGCAATCTGTAATTAAAATTGAATTAAATTTTAAATATTTATATACAATTTAAAGAAACAAAATATTTTTTAGATGTAAATAATATTATTTATTGTTATTACATTTCTTACTTATAATTAAATAATTATTTAAATTCTTTATTCTTCTACTAATAAATAGAAACGATGTTTCAAAAAAATTTGTTTATCAATAAAAGATAATTTAATAAATTATTTAATGGACAAAAAATTGTATCATACATGTTCAAAAAATAAATTTAACAATTTTTATGAATATAAAAGTAATCAGAGTGTAAAAATTAAAATATACTTACGAATTGCAGCAATGGACAAAAGTAATGTAAACGTAAAGATTGGAGACATGTTAATGAAGACTTATAAATGTTGAAATACAACTATGATAACTAATAAAATTTTTGCAAAATGATTTTTCTTTGTCAAATATTCTAAGCGACAGTTAAACTTAGACTGTTAGGAAGATACTGTCAAAAATTGATTTTATAGTGTCCAAAATTCAAAGAGTGAGAGAAAGCAAAAATATTGGGCGTAGACAAATAAATAAGTATAGTATTTAAAAAAAGGACGGTTCAACTGGGAAATCCCATTGAGAAATCGTCAATGAAACTGAACAAAGAAAAAAAATATTTTTCGTTTTTAACATTAACGATTGTAATTACTCTAAAAATTAAAAAATTCGTCAAGTACGAGTTACACTCGCTTACCTAGGGTTCCGTTCACGATTATTTAAATTTAAATATTTAAATATAATATTTTAAAGAAGTTGGCTATATTTTATGTGAAATCTCCACATGAAATTAAATATGTGTACCAAAGTTGCAGCTTCTTAGCTCCAAAACTGTAAAAATTAAAGCGCGGAAGGATACGTTTTTGCAATTTCGAACTATTGCGCAGCTTTTGAAGTTTTTAATTTTTAGTAAAGAAAAAAAAATTAACATGAGCAAGAACATGGACGTGTTCATGTACAAGTACTTAGGGATCGTCCATAAACTACGTAGTCTCAAATTTGTCACTTTTTGACCCCTCCCTCCTCCCACGTAGACCAGCGTAGTTTTCGGTTTACCCCCCCCCCCCGTCTAGTAGAACGTAGTTTTTTCAATTTTATAAAAATGCATTTTTATTCATAAAAACATAGTATAAATAGAAACATGTCAATTAAAACACAATTTTTTTTTCATTTTTGCATATAGCAACAAACGTATCTTTTAACATGAACTTTATTAATCTTTTTTTCGTTTGAACATGAAATAAAATTGAATAAAATGTTAAATCTTCAACATCAATATAAAAAATCACTTAAATGACTAATATTTTTAATTTAAATATAAATATTTAAGAAAAATCTTCTGTAAATAATGAGATCAACCAATCATGTAGGTCAGTTATGACCGGAAATACATTTTCGTCTCTAAAGTACCGATTTCACATAATACTTCTGTTCCCCGCTTTGTGATTAATTTGTTTACACGCTGTTTTTCACAAGCGCTGGTGCTACGACCATGTACGGCTTTACTGTGGATTACCCGCGCTATTTAAAAAAAAGAAAAATAAATAAGATATAAAACTACGTAGTCATGGCTTGAACCCCTCCCCTCCCCCACGTAGTCAACCGTAGACTTTCGCTGGACCCCCCCCCTCCCCCTAAGCTGGCTACGTAGTTTATGGACGATCCCTTATACATGAAATTGTACAAGATCATGTACATTTTCTTGTACAAGTATCTTTCTTGTACAAGATCTTGTACAGGGATTTTCAGTAGGGTGTTCTCCACACAGCACTCAATGCTCTGCAGAAAATAATCACTACTTTTTTTTACAGTAATCAGAGTTTCGTTTCATATTATTAGTAGACAACAGATTATTCAGAGCTACGAATATGGGCAAATCCACAGAACCGGCCGATTTTTACTTATCAAGATGATAATTTTCCAAATAGCAAGCACACCTTTTATTTATGGTTTACTTTCTTTAAAATATATTCAAGAACAATTATCTTCTTGCGTGATTCATTTTATTTTAATGCCGTTTGAGTTAAAAGCCAAAAACGAAAATATTATTTTTCTTCTGGAAATTATAATTAAAAATGGCATTTCTTTGTTTTTTTCTACATATTATTTGAAATATGTGCAAAACATTTTGAATAATAAAATACGATAAAATACAAATAATTAATTTTTTAATTATCAAAAATAAATTATTTATATTTTATCATATTTTATTATATATTTTATTTATTAGCATTTAATTTTTTATTTCTGTAAATTAAATTGTTTACTTACTAATTTTGATATTAACTATTTTAACCAACAAACTGACATTATTGACATCGATTTTGATATAACTTTGAAAATAAAACAAATGAAAGGATAATTCATTTTTCACGATTAACTAGTTTAATTTCGATAAATTTTTTTTTATTTTTAATTTTTAGACGTTATAAATTGAAAATATAATTTAGCGTTTGCATACAAGAATTATAATAATGTCTTTATATAATCACACATGTTTTCAACTCATCATATTTTATCCTGTAGTTGTGCTACTGAAAAATGGCTATGTTGAAAATGGTTCACGCTTAAACATAGAGTGATAATTATTGGAATATTTTCTTTAATTCTGATTGCACTCTATTCTATGATACATACATTTGTTCGTCTGTTCACAAGCAATAAGCTCCAATTTGAAAAATTCAAATCGAATAATCGCCGCAAAAGATATTTACAAATATGTATAGACATTTCATTATTATAAAATAATGAGTAACGCTACTTTCAACGACTATCATTTCTTTTTATTTAAGAGCACATATTTTTTATTACTTTCAAAACATTCTTCAATAAGTAAACTATAATTCACCACAGTTTGGAATTGTTCGGATCTATGCCGAACAAGTTATACCTAAAAGAATTAAAATTTATACCTGGAGTAACACCTTAAATTTCATTTTTTAAGTTACTTAATTCGATTTTATTTTTTATAAAAGACTAGAAGGTTCACATTTATTCAATTTTCTTATTTCAATAGGTTCTCAGAGATATTACAAAATGGTTGAAGTATGAAAATAATTAATATAATACTTCTAAAATAGAAAAATATGTGAGTAACATGAAATCGGCCGGTTCTGTGGATTTGCCCATATAGCAATAAATTCTGTGGTCGAATTCGTGACTGCTTTTCTCACAGGTCAGAGTATTATGTAGAATTATTTTTTAAAATTTAGAAATAAAAAAATGAAGACTTTAAAAAGTCAATAACTTTGGAATTTATTAAAAATAGGTTACCATCATTTTATCACTTTATATATTATATATTAAAAAAAAAATTTCTTGATTTTTAAACCTCCAAGTTCTTAAAACTACTGTTTTCAGATATATAATTTTAATTATAAACTATTGCTTTTTTAAAATTTTTCAAAGTTATATAGCAAATAAAGTTATTATATTAGAATAAAATAATAAATATTTATTTGTATTTTCATAAATTTTGAGTTTATTAATTAAAAGTAATTTGTTTAATATTATTAGTTTATTATTTCTTATTTAATAAAATAGAAATAATTTTAGTCAAATATGTAATCTGTTTTTCATAAAAATATTTTTAAAAATGTTTAATCTATTAAAATTGTTTTAAACGTTTGTTTAAAATTGTTATCTACTTTTTATTAAAGGGTAAACGTTCTTATATTTACTCCCATTACTGTCAAAAAAAGTATCATTATTTTCTGCAGAGCATTGAGTGCTATGTAGAGAACATTCAGAACTATCGAATTTAATTTTTTCGTTTCCACAGTAGCCAGTGCTGTGAGAAAAAATACTCAATGCTTTCAGATTTTCTCCGTGTACAAAAACACGAAATTTCGGAAAAAAGTGTGTTCCCACCCTTAACTTTCACAGTTTTGGAGCTACGATGCTCAAATTTGGTATACATACGTAATTTTTCAAGGATTTTAAAGGATAATTATAGAAAACTCGATTGGAATTGAATTGAATATTGTTATATTCCAAAAACACGAAATTTCGGAAAAAACGTATCCTTCCGCGCTTTAATTTTTACAGTTTTGGAGCTAAGAAGCTGCAACTTTGGTACACATATTTAATTTCATGTGCAGATTTCACATAAAATATAGCCAACTCCTTTAAAATATTATATTTAAATATTTAAATTTAAATAATCGTGAACGGAACCCTAGGTAAGCGAGTGTAACTCGTAATTGACGAATTTTTTAATTTTTAGAGTAATTGCAATCGTTACTATTAAAAACGGATGATTTTTTCTTTCTTTGTTCAGTTTCAACCCTCAGCGCTCCTCAAAATTAAAAAAATATGGACGTTTTCGACACATTTTTTAGTGCTCTTTTGAATGGCATGATTTAAAAATGCGACAAATTTTTATTTTTTGAGTAATTACAATCGTTAATGTTAAAAACAAAAATATTTTTTTTCTTTGTTCAGTTTCATTGACGTCATTTTGATTGACGATTTCTCAATGGGATTTCCCAATTGAACCGTCCTTTTTTTAAATACTATACTTATTTATTTGTCTACGCCCAATATTTTGCTTCCTCGTGGAGGAAGCTATGTAGTCCTTTCGTTTATAAAATTTTTAAAAATGGTGAAAACAAATTTTCCTCTGTATAGAAACATGTTATATGAGATCCTGATCAATTGTCCGGATGTATGTATGTGTGTGTGTATGTGTGTGTGTGTGTGTGTGTATGTGTGTGTGGATAGTTTTTGTGAACACGATATCTTTAACAGGTTTTAATGGATTTGGGTAAAATTTGGTAGGCTTATTTAACACATTAATCTCTCAAAAATGACGAGAGGATTTTTAAAAATACCCAAAAAAAAAAATTTTATCGTCTTTTTTCCAAAATTTTTTTTTTAATTGAAAAAATTTTTAAATCGAAAAATTTAAGGTAATATATAATATAATCGTCTTCTTTATGTCAAGATGAATCGATTGATATATATAAAGTATAGATTTGATTGAAATTTAAAGAATTAATGAAAGTTAAAAAATCAAAAATTCTCATTTTAGCTAAAAAATGATGTGTTTGATTAAATTCAAGTTTATATATGAAATAATTTTATTCCTTGCATTGAAGCAAATCAATTAGTATATAGAAAGTATACATTTGAATAAAATTAAAAAAATTAATGAAATTTAAGAAATAAAAATTTACGTCTTAGCTAAAAAATTGTGTTTTTATTTAAATTCAAGTTTAAACATAAAATAATTGTATTCCTTGCATTGAAACGAATCGACTGGTATGTATAAAGTATACATTTGCGTTAAATTAAAACAATTAATGAAAGTTAAAAAATAAAAAATTTACATTTTAACAAAGAAATTTTGTGTTTATTTAAATTCATGTTCAAATATAAAATAATTGTATTCCTTTTTTTAAACTTTCATTTACTCTTTCAATTTAAATAATAATAATAATAATAATAATTTAAATATATATCATACATACCAATCGATTTATTATAATGCAAGGAATGCAATAATTTTATGTTTAAACTTGAATTTAAACAAACACAATTTTTTTATGTATATTAATTTCAGTGTTACTGCTTCCTCCATGAGGAAGCAAATTTTTTGCATCATATAATGAGGAAGCAAAATGTTCATGAAATGAACATAAAGGACACCCTACTTGTTTGCTTTCTCTCACTCTTTGAATTTTGGACACTATAAAATCAATTTTTGACAGTATCTTCCTAACAGTCTAAGTTTAACTGTCGCTTAGAATATTTGACAAAGAAAAATCATTTTGCAAAAATTTTATTAGTTATCATAGTTGTATTTCAACATTTATAAGTCTTCATTAACATGTCTCCAATCTTTACGTTTACATTACTTTTGTCCATTGCTGCAATTCGTAAGTATATTTTAATTTTTACACTCTGATTACTTTTATATTCATAAAAATTGTTAAATTTATTTTTTGAACATGTATGATACAATTTTTTGTCCATTAAATAATTTATTAAATTATCTTTTATTGATAAACAAATTTTTTTGAAATATCGTTTCTATTTATTAGTAGAAGAATAAAGAATTTAAATAATTATTTAATTATAAGTAAGAAATGTAATAACAATAAATAATATTATTTACATCTAAAAAATATTTTGTTTCTTTAAATTGTATATAAATATTTAAAATTCAATTCAATTTTAATTACAGATTGCCTGCCGGCGAACAATCAACGTCAATGTGGACCCAATGAAATTTTCGACAGGTGTGGAGTTTCAAGTTCTTGTCACAACACATGCCTCATTCCAAATAATTGGAAGTGTGTAAATGACTTGGTAAGTTCTTTTATTAACTACATATATAAAAACAATCATTATTGAACAGTACTTTAATATAATTAAATTTTCAATTCAATTTTAGGCAATAAAAATAATTGCAATAACTTTTTTTTTTGAAAATATGTTTAAACCTTACATTTGATTTTATTTATAGGTTTGTCATCCTGGCTGTGAATGCAAAGAAGGATATGTAAGGGAACTTCAGTCCAATAGGTGTATTTTACCTTCGCAATGCCCAAATAGAGGATAACTCTAAATAATAAATGTAATGCATAATTTCCTCTTAATTTTGGTATCAAAAGTAATAATCTTAATGTAGAAGGGTTTTCCTCTCGAAAAAATCCTCTTAAAGGAAGAATAATATTCAAATATTTTGACAAGTTGAAAATAACCGTAATACACATGTTTTGAATAAATTATTAGAAATAATGGTTATGTATTGATAATAAAGTACAGTTTTGACACATTGAATTAAATGTTGATATCAAAACCTCAACCTCAAAAATTCCTAGTGTTATTAATGTCAAGAGAACCAATAATTTTTTTAAATTTGAATAATATAATAAATATTTAATAAGATTTAATTATTTACATTCAAAAAAGGTAAATTATAATAGATTCCTGGAATAAAGATAATTAAACATCTCTGAAAAAAATTTCTTGCTTTTTGCTGAGCATCAATACATTAGATTTAATTACAATAATAATAAAAAATGCTATAGCCAGTTGCAAATATCAAACAAGTTCGACGCAAATATTTAAGAAAATTAGTAAGAAATGAAGATTCATACGAAGCTGTAGTACGCAACGTTTATGATAAACGATTTTTGAAGAAAAAATTTTTTAAAATGAAAAATTCTGTAATTTTTTATTTTAAAAAATTATTTCTTAAAAAATCGATTCATCGAGAGGTTATATTTTCTGTATTTATACACAACACTATTATTACAAAATACGAAAATTGACAGTTTCGAAAAACAAAAGCGCAAATGTCAAACAGGAAAAAAATGTAATCGATATCATGTATTTACTTTTTCTTTTTTCAAATATACTAAATTTAATCAGGAAAATCGTAATTGAAGAGGAAAATGCAAAAGTACTCCTTTCGTCATTGTTCCATTACAACAAAGAATAAAAATATTCTACAGTGAAATGGAATATTCGTATTTTAAGAGGAAATATTCAGAGGATTTTAGAAGAGGAATTTTCCTCTAAATTTAAGATTACTTTTTTTTGGGTGCAATATATGCTATATAAGTAAGAAATATAATAATAAAATAAATAATTATTTACATCTAAAAAAATATTTTGTTTCTTTAAATTGTATAAATATTGAAAAAAGGAAATAAATGAATTAAAATGAAATTCAATTTTAATCACTTAACTTTTTCTCTCATCTGGGTCTTTCTCCGTATTCGTCAATTATGTGTAAACAATATATGAACATTATATCAGAAAACAAATTTTGTATTCAAATTTAATCAGAAATTTTGAAATTATAAATAATTGAGGCTCCGGATCTTAAAGGCAGAGCACGAGCTCGAATTTACACAAAGAAAATTGGTCACTGGAGTGAAAATTTTGAAATTGTTCAATGTCAGATTTTAACAGTTGACTCTTATCGTTGGAACTTGACATTGAAAATTTCCAAATTTTAAAACCAGAGGGCCAAAACTTGTTATGCAAATTCGAGCATGTGTCTTTTAAGATCTGAAGCCTCAATTATATAAATACGATTTAAATATACAGATAATATTTTCGAAATATGCATTTGATTTTATTAATTTTGTAGTTTTTCTTAAAAAATTAGTGAACAATTGTAATTTTTATGCAATTCTTACAAACAATAGCTCATTTTGCTCTTTGAAAGATTTTCTACAATTCTGTTTGTTGAATTCTATTAAAAATATTTTTATCAAAAGTTAATAAACAAATAAAATTTTTATTTTTTATATTTTTTTAGCGTATTTCTCGCCAAAAGTGACCTAAATTCTGATGTTATGTTTGTTTCAAGACTCTGAATAAAGCAGCAAGTCGTTCCCCCTTCCTTCATCTCTCTCCGTATTTCCCGCCAAAAATGACATAAATTATGAGGTTATGTTCATTTCAAGACTTTCAATATAGCCGCAAGCAGCAGGTAGATTTCCTGCCAAAAATGACCCCCCTCCTTCCGTACGTTGAAGGAGAGGTGGATTTTCCGCCGAAATTGAACTAAATTTTAAAGTCAAGTTATTTTGAAGGGAAACGAACAAGAAACAAACAAAACCTAAAAATTTAGGCCAAAATTTGGCGCAAAAAGACAAAGAAACAAACATAACCTCAAAATTTGGGTCAAACTTTGCAGGAAAATGACCAAAAAACGAACCTAACCTTAAATGTAGGTCAAATTTTAGCTGGAAAATTTAAAAATTAGATAAATTTTGTTTTAAAAATTGAAAATAATAAAAATTATTGTTAATAAAAATCGTAAATAACATTTAAAGAAATAAATAATAAAATATTAATAATAGTTTTAAATTCCAGAAATTGTCTAAATATTAACTCAAACATCTTCAAAACCAATAAAAAATAGGGGGTTGACGCGCATATACATATGTAATCAAATAAACATAGAATAAAAATTTTGATAAACAAGTATTTTTTTATTCACAACCGGGTGACAATATAGTGACAATATAGTGGTTTATTTTATTAAGATCGTATTTTATATTCTAATCTATCACAATAGATGCTCTCTTAATATCAAGAGTTTTTTTTTTGTATAGAAATATAATTTGAATAATATATATTTACAATTTTTTAATTAAGAAAATTTTTCAAATCTACATAAAAAAAAACGTAACAAACTTTAATAAAGTAAACAAAAAAATTTTTCATAAACAATTCACTGGAAGCCACAAAAAAAAAAGAAATTAAAATCATCGAGAATTGAAACGAATCTGTACAAAATTTTTTTTGAATATTTAAAAAGAATAATATAATATATTCTTGGATATGTTGAGAAGGCAATAAATCTAAACCTACGTATTATTTTGGTCCGATCTTTTTTTTGTCATCGAAATCTGTCTTCTAAGAAAACTGCCTCTTTTTTTTTTTTTATTTCAATTGCATCTGGTAGTGAGAAATTTACGTCATTTTTTTTTTTTAATGATGTTAATCGCACAAAGTGAGATTTAAGTAATACAATTTTATAAATTCCAATTCATGAAAAATTGGTAAATTCTGTACATATTCGGACTACCTATAATATCAACTATAGTCTTATTATTTTTGTACTTAATTCCTAAGAATTTCTCATTATAACAATTTTACAAGTAAATTGATTTATTTACCCTGACAACAATTCAATTCTCAACTATTTTTTTTTTAATTTTCAATCGACTGTAATTATTTTTCAAATCTTAAGACTATTTATATAGTCTTAAAAAATAAAAAAAAAAGACCTTTCTTTAAATTATTATAATTGCTATATAATATAGGAAACAGAACTATTTAACTAACTTAATTAGTTAATTTGATCAATTAATTTTCTAAGAATAATTGATATAAATATTTTCGATTCTAATATTATGACATGATTTCGTAAAGTATATATATATATATATATAAATTTGAAAGAGAATTAGAGAATAATCGTTCCTCGTTCATTTCATTATTCATTTAGATAATAATTAAAATCCTTCAAATTTCTTATTCTGAAAATAGTTAAGTATGTGTAATAATACGTGCGTGATGTTTTTTTTTTTAGTTTTTAGCTTTTCGAAGGTTAATCTTGTCAGAAAATTACTCCAAATTCTTTTCGTGTATAATTTGAATATTTTACACAAATTTGTGTAAATTTTAATAAAAATTCGGTTTTTTTTTAAATAATTTAGTAAACTGAAATAAACATATTTCAGAAAATTTTGAAAAAAAAGAACTTTTGGAGGAAATTTTCATCGATTTAATCCCTTTGGAAGCATTTGTGATGAGCTTTTTTTCCCCTTATAATCTAAGCTCATTAATGAGTAGGTAATAATTTAGTATAATAAATAGGCGTTCGTAAACGCTTAAGTACTCTGTAAAGCGCTTCTTTTAATCTCTTCCCAACAACTGATGATTATTTCGATAACGCCCATTGATTTTGCATCATCGATAAATATTTTTGTCACAGTTTTGTGTGTTTCACGCTGTCCGTCCAATAATTTTGTATTGTCATTGCCTCCAATGAATTTAAAAATGAATCATTGTCCAGACTATACATTTCTTCTGAATTATCCTATAAAACATAGATAGAAATACATATTAATTTAAAATATAATTATTTAAATAAGCAAAAATTTCTGATAAATTATTTTTTTAATTTACCCTAAAAAATGTGAATGAATTTAAATGATAAAGAAAATGATTGTCATTATAGATATAGAAAAATGTCCATTAGAACTTTTTAATTTTTCTAGTCGAACAAAATTTGCAAAAACTTATTTTTTGTACGTTAAAAAAGGAAATTTATTTCGGAAAATAAGTATTTTTGAAAAAAATTTTGAATTTTTCAAAAAATAAATTTATGCACTAAAGAATACAAATCGAGCAAAAATTTAGCACAAGATTTGTTTTATTTTAGACGTTTTAAAAATGTTTTTTAATTTTTTTGCTCGGAATTTCGAGTCTTTAAAAAAATGAATTTGTGCACAAAAGAGCATAATATTTGTTTTTTTTTTGAAAATTTTAACTTTACTCGTCCAATTTTCTGCACATTAATAACTAAAAAGTAACGTGTTATTGCAAGCAAAGAAAATTTGAAATAAATTCTAAAAAGTGACTTTTAAAATGGATTTTTAGTGAAATTAAATTAATTAATTAGTGAATTAGTGAAAAACGTAAAAATTAATTAATTTATTTATTTATTTGAATATATATTATTAAAATTTAAGTAATTGATATTTACTCTAATTGTAGAATCATCAATGTAACCAGAACTGTCAGGATTGCTACACTTGTCGCTGTTTAAACTTTGAGGTGGATTTAAATATTTTTTTCTGAAAGAAAAATTGAGAATTATTAAGAGAGAGAAATTATTTTTTTTTTTTTTTTTTTTTTTTTTTTTTTTTTTTTTTTAGTATTCGAAGAAAAAAATTATTTACCTATACATAATAAATCCTACTGTCACCAATGTGCTCAGTAATGCGAGGCTCGCCAAACAACTACCAGTGATTATCGCAATATCTGCAACAGAAGCACCATTGTCTTCTACATCATCAGGACAATTTTTGCCACTATCGCTACTTTGGGATCGTGGACTTTCATCGTGTTTTTGATCTCTTTGAAAATCACTCGAGAAAGCACTTCTTGCACGGCTGAGTCTCGTTGAATCGCTTAATTCAGCTGAAAATTTTTTATACATCAATTTTTTTTTTCCTATTAAACGTCATTATAAACACAAAACATTATAATAATAATAAAAAAAAGTGTATTTCAATAATTTCTTAAACTAAAAAAAAATTACAAATTTAGAAAAATCAGAAATTGCAATAGGGCACAAAAATAAGAGTAAATTTTATTTATTTAGAAAAAAATGATATAAATATTTTCTAATTTAATAAAATTTAATTTAATTTCATTAATATTTCTAAATTTTTTGTTTGCATTTTTGAAATTAATTATGAATTCATTATAATAATTAAATAAATACAGTACAAACATAGATTTTTTATTCTCTATAATGAAGTGGGTTTTTCTTCTAGTTCTAGTTGAAATTTTTAGAAATAATTAAATTTCAAAAGATTTTCTTGTATTTCCAGACAATAATTAAATTTTACAGAATTGAAAATAATTTATCAAATAATTTTAGAGAACATTTTTTAAATGTAATTAAATTTTTAAAGATTTAAAATTCAGTTTTTTTAAATTAATTGAACTTCAAGTGACTTTTAATTAAAATTTTTGGTGACGAAGGAATTTATAAGAAATTACAGAGAAAAATTTAATTTCTAAATTTTTTAATTGAAAAATTCTTTCAAATAATTAAATTTTTAAAGAATATTATAAAAATCATTAAATTTTGGAAGAGTTACCGCTGACATTTTTAGAAATAATTAAATTTTAGAAGGTATTAAATTGAAATTTTTGAAAATAATTGACTTCAAATGATTTTGAATTGGAATTTCTTTGGTGATTTCTGTTGCTGAAGAATTCATTAAAAATTAAAGACAAAAACTGAACTTTAAAATTTTTTAATTGAAAAATGCTTTCAGATAATTGAATTTTCGAAGAATATTTTTAAAAATCATTAAAAATAATTGAATTTCGGAAGAGTTATAGTTGAAATTATTAAACTTGAGAAAGTTTTAGATGGGGAATTTTAAAAATAATTAAATTTTAAAAGGTTTTTTAATTGAAATTTTTGGTAATTTTATTTGCTGATTTTTTTTTAAATTGTAAACAATTTGTTAAATTTCAAAAAAAAAAATTTAATTTAAAAATAGTTTAAGATACCTAATTGAATTTGTGAAGAATTTCATTCAAATTATTAAAAATATTTAATTTAGAAAAAAAATTTTAGTTAAAAATTTTGTTAAATAATTGTAATATAAAGAAGATCTTAAGAAGATTTGCATTGTATACAAAAAAAAGACGTATTTTGTTTAAACATTTTGTAAAAAAAAATGTTAAAATAGTCGAGGCTGTATTTTTTTATCATTTTGAAAAAATCATTTTTTTTTTATCAACTCTTTAAAATAATTTCTCTAAAATAGAATTTAAAAAACTTTTAAGAAAAAAAAGTGACCTGTACAATATTGTAAATATCAATTTATTACTGAATTCAATTTTGAAAATTCATCTAACAATTATTCTCATTATAGAATTTAATGAAATTAATATTTAATAATTTTTCCCCTAATTTGCGAAAATTGAGATTAATATTTAAAAAATTTTAAATGTACATTTATTTGAAAAAAAAACTTTTTATTCATTTCAAAAATATTTTTGGGTTAGTCCAATGACTTTCGTCTAATAGTGGTTGCGACCAAATTTTAAAAAAATCTAGTTTTAATATAATGTGAAACTCGATGATTCCCTGAGTTCATTAACCATAATATTATGGTAAAAATTTTATTCCCTTTAAAAATATTAAATATCAAAAATAGGAGGTTCACAATGTGATTTTGTAACCTTAAATTTTTCAATTTTTTTAAAAACGCTATTATTAAAAAACTATTAAAAATTTGATGTTGGAACTCACCAAAAACATAAATCACTTTATTCTGCACAGAGGAACGAAAGAATTATTGCAAAAATTTATTATTTTTTGATGATATACGATTTTTAAAAAAATTTTATTTAAATATTCTCAAGATTTTTATATACTTATAACTTTTTTGTCGGTGCTCCGAAAAAATTGAGGTTTTGCACAAAGATTTTTTATAATATTCTTTACCTTCTATTAAAATCTTACGAAGGTGTTTTGCTTCGTTTTGGAGATATTAATTTTAAAAATTTTTTATTTAAAAAGGTAAATTAAAAGACTTGAAGTTAACTAACCAAATTCAAACTGCTCCATTTTTTATAAAAAATATATTAAAATGTAGCGATTTGAAATTGGTCAGTTAACTTCAAGTCTTTTAATTAATCTTTTTAAATAAAAAATTTGAAAATTAATATCTCCAAAACGAAGCAAAACACCTTCGTAAGATTTTAATAGAAGGTAAAGAATATTATAAAAAATCTTTGTGCAAAACCTCAATTTTTTCGGAGCACCGACAAAAAAGTTATAAGTAAATAAAAATCTTGAGAATATTTAAATAAAATTTTTTTAAAAATCGTATATCATCCAAAAATAATAAATTTTTGCAATAATTCTGTCGTTCCTCTGTGCAGAATAAAGTCATTTATGTTTTTGGTGAGTTCCAACATCTAATTTATAATAGTTTTTTAATAATAGCGTTTTTAAAAAAATTGAAAAATTTAAGGTTACAAAATCACATTGTGAACCTCCTACTTTTGATATTTAATATTTTTAAAGGGAATAAAATTTTTATCATAATATTATGGTTAATGAACTCAGGGAATCATCGAGTTTCACATATATATTAAAACTAGATTTTTTTAAAATTTGGTCGCAACCACTATTAGACGCGAAAGTCAGTGGACTGACCCATTTTGATATTTTTAAAATAATTTTCGAGAAAAAGAATATTTTTATTTTTTACCATCAAGTATAGATGAAGCGGTGGCAATTAATTGTGGAGCGGTGAGATCTTCCTCAACTAGTAAATCCTCAGAAACATTGACAGTTCTTAATTTTCCACCAGTAGCTGAGAATGGAGTACTTTTATTATTAACGACTAGTTTAAATCTTGATATTTCCTCTTGTAAAGGCAAGACAGTGAGGCTCTCATATTCACTGGTACTGAAATTTTTAACAATCTCCGATGACGATGATGACAACATTTTTTCATCATATTTTGTTCTACTCGTTTTATTTGATGTTATAATCCAAGAAATTTTACTATCCTTTTTCACTATTGGCATTCTAATCACTGGAACTTTATCATTATAAACACCAAGTGTGAGAATATCACCCATCGCAGGTGTTGAATGTTTTATGGGAATTATTTTTTCGGCATTCACAGACGAAGATACGCCAATGGCTTTGGCTATTCTAAAATTTTCAGTACTTGAATTACTATTACTATTATTGTTATTATTATTTTTATTATCATCTAATTTCGTTATTGTTGTCGAATGTACAGTTGAATCTGTAGTCGACATTTGATTTTCGTCTTGTAATTTAGGCCCTTCTGTTGTCGATGGCAAGGGGACTGCCAGGATTCCTGCGAAAAAATTTTCTTTTTACTATAATGTAGAACAATAAGGCATTCAATGTGAGATTTTCATTAAAAAAAAAAAAATTTTTTTTTTTTTGAAATTTTTATGAAAAATAAGAAAATATTTTGATAAAAATTATGCAAGTTGTGATTTTTTTTTTAATTTATCGTCATCAGAAGCTGCGTAAAATTGAAATTATTAAGAAAAACGTAAATAATTTTAAAAATCGCACAAAAATATATTTCTCTATATGATTTTATCCGGTCATTTTTAGAATTCTATCACTAAAAAAAAATTCGGACAAATAAAGATTCGGTGAATTAAAAAAATTCTGGCATTTAAAAATTCGAATCACACTTATAAACTTATGTTGAATTATAAGGAGAATTCTACTAAATTAATATTCGATTAAATTGGAATTTTTTTTAAAATAAAAAGTTGGACAAAGAGAAATTTGTGTAAAATAAAAATAAATAAAAAAAAAATAAATCACAACTTCTATAAATTTTATCGCATTAAAAAAATTTTTAAAAATACTTATTTTCTTATTTTTCATGAAGATTTTCAACAAAAAAAAATTTCAATGAAAATCTCATGTAGAATACCTTCATATTCCATATGAAATTTTCATTGAAATTTTTTTTTTGAAAATCTTTATAAAAAATAAGAAAATAAGTATTTTTTAATTTTTTTAATTCAATTATTATTATTATTATTATCCTTCATCCTCCTTTTTTTATAAACTGAGAGAAAGTTAAAAATTAATGCATTTAAATATAATACCTATTTTTATTTTACACATAAATATTTTTAAAATTACACATAACAGTATTTTTTGCGCATCTATTTAATAAATTTATTTCAAAAAAAAAAATATTTATTATCTTATAATAAATAAATAAAAATGAAAATTATAAAAATTATTTAAGATATTACGATAAAAACTGGTCTTGCTGTATTTAAATATTAATTACAGTAGCACTTACAATACTTTATTATTGTAACAAAAGATAAGGAAGAACTGCACTGGCCACTAAATAAAACAATTCCTTTCATTTTATTCTTTTCATTCTACTTGAATACAAAAATAAACAAAAATATTGAAATAAAATAAATATAAACAAACAAAAGTCAACAAAATAAATAAAAATACTTGCAAAATTTTATAAAATATTTTTTACTTATATGAATTTAAAAAAAAAATTACATCAAAATATTAGATTTATTTTCTTTTTATCGCTATTTTTTTTTGGGAATTTTTTTTTACTTACCCGTAATCCAAAACCAGTGCATCCACCAATGTAATGTCATCGCGTCATCAGAATCTTCCTGCAAAAAGAAAAAAAAATGATTTCATTATTTTTATTTTAATACCATACTTTATTATTAATATTATTATTATTATTATTTATTTATTACTACTTTTTATTTTAATTTCATTTTAATTCTAATTTTCTTATTGATATTAAAAATTATTATTTTCTGTGATTATTTTACAATTCTATAATAATTCTATTTTAAGGTCGTTCAACCCTTTGACATAACCTCAAATTAAAAATTAGTTTTATCATCAAGTAGAACAGCAATTACAATTAATTTTATTAATTTTTGAAGGATCCAATTATATAATTTACAAAGAAAAATATATTTTTAGCCAAAATTTGTTGTTAAAATAATTTTAAGATGTAGGGTCAGTTGGGGTAAATATGGGGACAAGAGGTTTTGGAGCTTAATTTACAGTTTTAAAATTAAGTTTAACGTAAATATTTTAACCTCAGATCACCTGCAAGAGGTTTTGAGTATTGCCAAGCTTTTATGTTGACAATTGGCAGCAAGATAAAAAAAGTTATCGCTCAAAATGCATAAAAACTTGAAAATCAAAGTCAAACTGTTTCAGTATTTTGTCGAGCATTTCAAAGAAAACAGACTTAAAAATCATACAAAATTTTTTTCATTTTCCTTACCCAGGTGCGAATTTCGGTCGGCCGCCAGAGTTGGTTCGTCGGCCCATGGTCGGCCCAACTCTGGCTGCCGACCGGTCGGCAGCCAGAGTTGGGCCGACCATGGTAAATATTTGCACCCAAAGTTGGGCCGACTATGGCTGCCGACGTCGGCAGTCACAGTTGGGCCGACCATTGCAGCCATAGTTGGGCCGACTATGGGGGATTATGGTCGGCACAACCTTGGCAGCCATAGTTGGGCCAACCTTGGCTGCCATAGTTGGGCCGACCAGGGGGGGTAATGGTCGGTCCAACTATGGCAGCCACAGTTGGGCCAACCATGGCTGCCATAGTTGGGCCGACCATGGGGGTAATGGTCGGCACAACCTTGGCAGCCATGGTTGGCCCAACTGTGGCTGCCATAGTTGGGCCGACCATTCTTCCCCATAGTCGGTCCAACTATGGCAGCCACAGTTGGGCCGACTAAGGGGAAAATGGTTGGCACAACCTTGGCAGCCATAGTTGGGCCAACCTTGGCTGCCATAGTTGGGCCGACCATGGGGGACAATGGTCGGTACGACCTTGGCAGCCAAGGTCGGTCCAACCTTGGCTGCCATAGTTGGGCCGACCATCATAAAGTAAATTTCTCTCCTACCATTGACAAATGTAAAATGTTTTTGTTAATTTACTTGTAATTGATTAATTTAAAAAGAAAAAAGGTTATATGTGATTAATTTATTATTTTGAATTACTAACTTTAATTTTTTTCAAGCTGTAGCTTATAACATTTATTTTTCTCCGTGACTCATATGTCATTGCGTAGTGTAGTGGTTAGCGTATTAGACTGCGGTGCGTTAGGTTGCGAGTTCGATCCCTGCGAGCGTTAAAAATTTTAATTTGTATATATGTATGTTTACGATTGCGTTTAGTGTTTAAGTATATAAAATAAATGTATAATGAATTTAAAATGATTACTAATATATGTTATTTGTATAACAAATTTTTATATTTTAATGTTTATGGTCGGCAAAATTTTAGCTGCCAAGGTTGGCCCAACCATGGCAGCCATAGTCGGGCCGACTATGGCTGCCGACCGTCAAGTTGGATGGTCGGCAGCCAAGGTCGGCCCAACTATGGTACCCATAGTTGGCCCGACTTAGTCGACCATAGGTCGGCCGACGTTATCAATTCGCTAGTTGGCCCGACCATCGGCAGCCATAGTCGGGCCGACCAAGGCTGCCATAGTTGGGCCGACTATCATAGCCGACGGTCGGCAGCCATAGTCGGGCCGACCATGGCAGCCATAGTTGGGCCGACCTCGGCTGCCTTAGTCGGGCCGACTATGGCTGCCGACCGTCAAGTTGGATGGTCGGCAGCCAAGGTTGGCCCAACTATGGCTGCCATGGTCGGCCCGACTATGGCTGCCGACCGTCGGCAAGGATGGTCGGCCCAACTAGGGCAGCCTTGGTCGGCCCGACTATGGTACCCATAGTCGGTCCAACTTAGTCGACCATAGGTCGGCCGACGTTATCAATTCGCTAGTTGGCCCGACCTCTGGCTGCCCGAGGTGGGCCGACCATGCACATGGTCGGCCCGACCATGGGCCGACCGACAATTCGCACCTGGGTATGACTCCCATAACAGAAATTCACTTGAATTTTTGATTTTTGTCAATTTGGTTAATAATGACAAGCTGTCCCTATTTACCCTGAGTTTTCAAATTTTTGGGGTAAATGGGGACAGCTTGTCATTATTAACCAAATTGACAAAAATCAAAAATTCAAGTGAATTTCTCTTATGGGAGTCATAAGGACTAAGAAAAAAATTTGGTATGATTTTTAAGTCTGTTTTCTTTGAAATACTTGACAAAATACTGAAACAGTTTGACTTTGATTTTCAAGTTTTTATGCATTGAGCGATAACTTTTTTTACCTTGCTGCCAATTGTCAAGATAAAAGCTTGTCAATACTCAAAACCTCTTGCAGGTGATCTGAGGTTAAAATATTGACGTTGAACTTAATTTTAAAATTGTAAATTAAGCTCCAAAACCTCTTGTCCCCATTTACCCCAACTGACCCTATTAGAAATGAAAAGTCTATATAAAAATTACACTTTAATAAATTTAAAAGTCAAAAGCAGTAAGTTTATGAAATTTTAAAGGGCATAGAAAAAATTTTTTCCAAAGTATTTCTCTATGAAAAAAGTTGTTAAAATAATTTTTCTCAAACTTAAATTGCTTTTCCTATACATATTTAGTAGCTCCATATATATATAGTTATTGCATATATAGAAGAATGCCATTGCGGCTCACTGAAACCAAAGAATTTCAAGTTTGGTGTTGAGTTTGGTCCACACAAACTTCTGTCCATAGTATCTTGTTAAAGTCGAGATTGTTATAAGTTTCAACATTAATTTCAAAACTTTCCGAATAAACGACCCGAGAATTCGTATATTATATCAAAGGACTATCATTTATCAAAAAAAAAAATCATTTAGACGCAATCTTCAATTAAATTCCCATTGCAAAATATTACTTCACACTTATAAAACAATTTACAATTATACATGGGGCATTCCACATAAAATTTTTATTCAAAAAAATATTTTTTTCACCGGAGTGTTTTTTTTCGAAATCTTTACGAAAAATAAGAAAATCTTTTTTTTTTAAATTTTTTTATTTGTTACTAAATTATAGAAGTTCCCAGGTGCGAATTTCGGTCGGCCGCCAGAGTTGGTTCGTCGGCCCATGGTCGGCCCAACTCTGGCTGCCGACCGGTCGGCAGCCAGAGTTGGGCCGACCATGGTAAATATTTGCACCCAAAGTTGGGCCGACTATGGCTGCCGACGTCGGCAGTCACAGTTGGGCCGACCATTGCAGCCATAGTTGGGCCGACTATGGGGGATTATGGTCGGCACAACCTTGGCAGCCATAGTTGGGCCAACCTTGGCTGCCATAGTTGGGCCGACCATGGGGGACAATGGTCGGTACGACCTTGGCAGCCAAGGTCGGTCCAACCTTGGCTGCCATAGTTGGGCCGACCATCATAAAGTAAATTTCTCTCCTACCATTGACAAATGTAAAATGTTTTTGTTAATTTACTTGTAATTGATTAATTTAAAAAGAAAAAAGGTTATATGTGATTAATTTATTATTTTGAATTACTAACTTTAATTTTTTTCAAGCTGTAGCTTATAACATTTATTTTTCTCCGTGACTCATATGTCATTGCGTAGTGTAGTGGTTAGCGTATTAGACTGCGGTGCGTTAGGTTGCGAGTTCGATCCCTGCGAGCGTTAAAAATTTTAATTTGTATATATGTATGTTTACGATTGCGTTTAGTGTTTAAGTATATAAAATAAATGTATAATGAATTTAAAATGATTACTAATATATGTTATTTGTATAACAAATTTTTATATTTTAATGTTTATGGTCGGCAAAATTTTAGCTGCCAAGGTTGGCCCAACCATGGCAGCCATAGTCGGGCCGACTATGGCTGCCGACCGTCAAGTTGGATGGTCGGCAGCCAAGGTCGGCCCAACTATGGTACCCATAGTTGGCCCGACTTAGTCGACCATAGGTCGGCCGACGTTATCAATTCGCTAGTTGGCCCGACCATCGGCAGCCATAGTCGGGCCGACCAAGGCTGCCATAGTTGGGCCGACTATCATAGCCGACGGTCGGCAGCCATAGTCGGGCCGACCATGGCAGCCATAGTTGGGCCGACCTCGGCTGCCTTAGTCGGGCCGACTATGGCTGCCGACCGTCAAGTTGGATGGTCGGCAGCCAAGGTTGGCCCAACTATGGCTGCCATGGTCGGCCCGACTATGGCTGCCGACCGTCGGCAAGGATGGTCGGCCCAACTAGGGCAGCCTTGGTCGGCCCGACTATGGTACCCATAGTCGGTCCAACTTAGTCGACCATAGGTCGGCCGACGTTATCAATTCGCTAGTTGGCCCGACCTCTGGCTGCCCGAGGTGGGCCGACCATGCACATGGTCGGCCCGACCATGGGCCGACCGACAATTCGCACCTGGGTTGTGATTTTTAAAAAAAAAATTAACGTCGTCACATCCAAAAAAAAGATTTTTTTGATTCAAAGAAAATTTACCTTTGATTCAAAACAAATTATATTCGTTTTAAAGAAATTTTTTCTTTAATTCAAATAAATGTTTCTTTGACCCTATATATAAATGTTAGAATTTCTTTCATTAAATGCACAAAGAAAATTTCTTTGAATTAAAGAAATTTTCTTTAAAACTAAGAAGTTTTTTTTTGTTTCAAAGAAAATTTTTTGTTGTTTTTGTAGATGGCTTTATGACCCATTCTGAGTTTATGTTTGGCCACTTTCTAGAATTTAAAACTATTATTAATATTTTATTATTTATTTTTTTAAAATGTTATTTATGATTTTTATTAATAATAATTTTTATTATTTTTAATTTTTAAAACAAAATTTATCTAATTTTTTTAATTATCCTGATAAAATTTGATCTACATTTGAGGTTATGTTCGTTTTTTGGTGATTTTCCTTAAAAATTTGACCTAAATTTTCAGTTTATGTTTGTTTCTTGGTCGTTTTCCGCCAAATTTAGAGGTTATGTTTGTTTCTTGGTTATTTCCCGCCAAAATAACATAACCTCACAATGTAGGTAATTTTTGGAGGAAAATCCACCTCGCCCTTAACGTAAGAAAGGGGGGGGGGCTTGCGACTATATTCAGAGTCTTGAAACGAACATAACCTAAAAATTTAGGCCATTTTTGGCGGAAAATTCGGTGAGAGAGAGAGAGGAGGAGGGAGGAGGACTTGAAGCTAAATTCAGAGTCTTGAAACAAGGGCGGCGGCGATATCTTTTTTTTTATAATATAGGTAGATAATAATTTAATATTTATTAAGAAGATATAAAAGCCATTAGCATATAACTTTAAACTAAAAAGTTATTTTATATTTGTAAAAATTGCAAAATTTTTTTAAATGGAAAATAATTCTCAAACTTATTGTAATTATTGAAAAAAAAAAAAAAAAAGTAAACCAAAGCGATAAAATCAATTTTTACGACTTTGATCTAAATACTCGCGAGAAAAATAAAAAAAATAATATAAAAATTCGATTCACTTAATGAAATAATTAAACCATTAAATGTTCTTTCGCATATAGATAAGATTTGTAACAAAAAAAAAAAAAAAAAAAATGTTTCACAATTAGAAATCATGCATACAATATTTTCTAATCAAAGTGAAACGGATGTAAATCGATTTTTCTTTTTTTTTTCGCTTTTTAGTATATATGAAATATGGATTATTGAGAAGACCGGATTCTTGGGTGACTAACGATCGTTCTATAGTGATTCTGAGGTTTTGAATTACAACAAGAATGAATCACTGCGAAACCAGAATTCTTAATAATGTCACGGTTATTTCACTTCAGGTGGTAACCTGCACTCTCATTGTAAAGTAAATTATAACATGAGCACGAGACTCCCAAAGTGAAAAGTCAAGTAAAAAGAGATCTGATTATATTTTAAATCTCAACTTTAACGCGCCACATCCTTTCTCGTAATAATCATTTTTATAATTATTATAAATTCAAAAGGCATTCAAGTAAAACGATCTTATTTATTTTATTTTACACACACACAAAAGAAACCACTGTTCTTTCTACGTAGAATTTTTTTTTGTTTTTTGTTTCAATGCAAAGACAATTTTTCATTACATAAAGCAAAATTAGAAACTTCCAGACTTATTATTATATTGGAAACAAATTAATTTTTTTTTTAATTTGTTGAAAAATAGTTTAGAAAAAAAAAATGAAAATAAATAATGTATATAATAAACATTCGGGGGAAAATTGACAAAATGTAATATTTTACTTGAAATGAAATTTAGAAGAAAAACAAACATTTGAAAATTTTTTTTTCTAGTTTCTTCTTATATGAGAACTTTCCAGAGATTACAGAAATTAATATGAAGTCAAGGTGACAGAATCAAGTATATTATGAAAATTAACTGGATTGGCAAGAATCAACAGGTGTGTTAATTAAGATAAGCTTATTTGCTGCGATCAATATATATATTCTTCTTTTCATCTCCATTTTTTTTTTATTTTTTAGTAAATCATTTTTTCAAAAGGATATATATATACACGGAAAAAAAGAAAAAGTAACTTTTACTACTTTAAAAGTAAAATTGGACCTGTCCGAAGTTTCTGCGCATCTCTGGCAACTTTTACTCCAAAAATAGTAAAATTTACTTCAGAAATAGTAAAAATTACTACGGAAACAGTAAAATTTACTACAGAAATAGTCAATTTTACTATTTTTGAAGTAAAAGTTGCCAGAGATGCGCAGAAACTTCGGACAGGTCCAATTTTACTTTTAAAGTAGTAAAAGTTACTTTATTCGTTTTTCCATTTTTCTCCGTGTATATATATATATATATATATATATATATATATATATATATATATATATATATACATAAATCAAAATTTAAAATTTAATTTTTAACAAGTTTCTTTTTTAATAATCTTTAATGATTGTCAATTAGAATATATATTTAAACCGTGTAAATTGTAAAAAAAAAATAATTATGTATTGTCCACACAAAATTTTATTTTTTATTCAATAGAATTTATATTTAGAAAAATTTTTATAAAAAATTTTTAATTTAAGGATGTTTATCCACGCGGAAATGCAGATCTCCAGAAGAAAAATTAATTAACATTGAAATAATTAAAATAATATTAATTGTACTTTCTAAAAGAAGAAATATCAATTTTCAAGAAAAAAATTTAAAACCTAAAAAATTTATTTGTTTATATAATTTGCATAGGAAAAAATATTTTATATTTTATGTCATATCGCTTCTACAGAAATTTTTAAAAATAATTCGATTTTAATGTAACATGGCTTATTTTCTTCAGAAAATAATTCTCTACAACTTCATCGTGAGGATTTTCAGACAAGCAAGCTATTTGGAAAATATGACTATTTGTTTAAAAGAAAAATGTAGATTTTTTTCAAACATATAGCCATATATTTTCCAAACGGCTTGCTTGTTTGAAAATACGATGAAGTTGTAGGAGAGTCATTTTCTCAAGAAAATAAGCATTAAAATCGAATTATTTTTAAATAAATTGAATTATTTTTTAAATTCGCTTAAAACTGTTTCCACATTAAAAACTTTCTACGAAAGATGGGAACAATAATTTACGCAATAAAAATTAATACATAAACTGCTTCCGTTTTATTTTTACGGACATTTAAAAAAATATTGCCACACGGAGAGAAATTTCTAGGAATATATTTACCGTACTGCCACCTGAAAGTGAGTGCAAAGTACATTCTGGCAGTTTTTACTGTTCTGCCTCTACAATCTGTAAAATGCAAAATTGTAGGGGTAGCACAGTAAAAACTGCCAGAATGTACTTTGCACGGTAAATATTTCTAGAAATTTCTCTCCGTATATGACCAAACTTTTTATTGTGGACGTGGTTTAAGAAGCAAATCTATAAAAAAAATCTATCCTTGCCCCAGTACCGGGGCAAGGATAGTTAAAAGAATCCGAATGCTAAAATTGTCATAGAAAATCAGTGAATTTTCGTTTTGATGAGCCAAAAGCTGAAACGCTTATTATTTTAATCCAATTTTGCTTATTTTAATACCAAAATGAATTAAAATAAGCAAAATTATGGATTAAAATAATAATAAGCGTTGCAGCTTATTTTAATGCCTTTTAATTTTCTATGATATCAAGTATTAACAACATATTTTAAAAATTTTCTAAATATCAATTATTGCATTAAAATTCGCCTGAACTATAGAATCTGAAATTTAACCAATTTTCTTCAGATGATCACCAATTTCTTGATCAATAAATTTCGTTTTCCGTATATAATTACGCACCATTATGTATATATCAACCTAAAAAGAATAATTAAACATTTTTTTATGATTTGCAGTCGCATTAGCAGGATTTTATCGAGCCGTAATAGCTCTAACTATCCTTGCCCCATGAGCCCATATTTCAGTTTTTTCTAAATTTTAATAAATGACGTTAATTAATTTTAAAATAAATACGATATTCGTGTTTAGCAGGAAATTCCACTTCGGAAAACACTTACGTAAATAAATATTCGGAAGCACTAATATAGGAAACAATATGATAAACACTACGTTGATATTTTAGCAAAACATACTTTTAACAAAAATAAACTCCTGACTTCGCAAATGCGGTGGCAAATTGACTTCCAATTTTTACTAACATCTATTGATGTTAAGACGCAAATATACCATGAATGACGCGATTTTTGAGCAAGTCGTCTCTAAGCATAACAGCAACTAACTATCCTTGCCCCATCCTTCCCTACAAAATTTTACAATTTTTATGAAAATAATCGAAACTAAATTGAAAGAAAGAAGTTCAGCAAAAAGTACAGTTTAAAAAAAAGTAGCCATACATTGAAGTCAGTATATTGAGAACAGTTAGGCCAGAACGTCATGCTTTTGTAAACGTTATATACGTGTGTATACATCAACTGTTGTGCGAGAGACGTCTATTTAGTTGGAGGATGTCGCAATTTTCCTGTCCGTAATTTAGACTTAATAAGGCGAGAGGAACAAAAGGCTTTCAAACTTCACGTATACCTATATATATATATATATACAACATGAAAATAGACACACCTCTTCCGTGATGCTGAGTCCGGTGGATAATTTACAATTAAATTTCAACTTTTCTATAATCCCATTGGATAAATTTGATCCTTGCTATACTCTAGTTAAATCCAGTATCCGCGCGCTCAAACCTTATAATGTAATTAAACAAACAGCATGTTGTCTAGGTATATATATGGTTTACGTAATTCTTCTCTGCACATACACACACATATATACACAATTTGTTTTCTCTCTCTATTCTCTTTCAGCTTTTATGTTATATTCTATTTTTGGAAATTCGCTTGTATTCTCCATTTCATGACACCTTTCTTCCCACATTCTATAACATTTTTTTTCATTTGTGAGAAATGGAGATTCAATACGTTAAAAAAAAAAATTAGAAATCATAGAAACAACGTTATGAGAAAATATAGTGTGTGGAAATAAACATTAAATAAATTAAAAAATAATTTATCGCACACCTACATGGATTTTTCCTCATTTGTTAGAAAATGAGATTGAATTATAAGCTTAAAAAAAAAATTAGAAATCAAAGAAAAAAACGTGATTGATGAAAAATGGTAATAGATAAACTCATAGAGTGGAAATAAAAATTTCTATTTTCGACTCGTTTAGTTTATATAAATAAGCAGGAATGAAAACCGAAACCAAAAATCAATAACCGAAAAAATAGAAATTTTTAAGAAAAAAGAAATTTATCTGAAATCGAAAACTGAAATCCGTTTTATTATAAAAATTTTAAAACTGTTATTTTGAAATCTAAATGTTGTTTTTTCGGTTTTTAATAAAAAAAAAAGTAGACAAAGTTATACTACATTATTTATAAATGACACCTGATGACACAATTAAATTAGGGATGGCAACTGAAACCGATAATCAAAAGAACAGAAATTTTTTAGAAACCGAAATTTCTCATATTCAAAACCGAAACTCGAATACTGAAATTGTAATCTTTTAAGAAAAAAAAACAGTAACTTTACTTTATCCATTGAGGAAGTTTGTACAGAAACAGCAAAAGTAAATCAAAAATGTTCAGGAATAAAAAAAAACCAATTTTCATTTAAATACAATAATTTTTATCAATTCTGCTTTTTTGCATTACATTTTACTAACCTATAATTTTAAAAATTAACTTTTTACGATATAGGCCAAAATACCAAGGATACTTATTTAACTTATAAATTTCCTAAATCTGAAAGATTGTTCGAATCGATACAAAAACGCAATTGCAAAACAAAAACAAGGAATGTAATATAATAACGGCTGCGACTTTGTGCTCCCTGCATGCTTCTGCCATCTGACGGCGGCAGGATGTAATGAACCCTACTTTCCTACTTTTCGTTTCGCAATCTCGTTTTTGTATGGATTCGCACAATCTTTCGTATTTAGGAAATTTATAAGATAAGAATCCTTGGTGTTTTGGACGATTTTGTAAAAAGTGTCCGTGTTTCAAGGAAAAAGTCTTTTACACGGAGAGAAAAATTAGGTGATAACTGCTTTGTTTCAAGTCGTTGGTCCAATTTTATTAAACAAGGCATTTGTAACTGGAGAGCACGGTAGATTTGACTTGGCTATCAAGTTAGGGCTATAATGTTCTTAAATAATACCGACAGACGGTTTGACCAATCAGCTTTGCTTGGCAGCGTGGCGCTATTCACACACGCATATTAATAGAATATTATATTTATTAATTTTTTCTAGGTTAGGTTTGATTTTTAAAAAAATTTCAAATATTAACATTTTTTTGATGATTTAAAGGAAATAATAAGGTCCACAATATAGTTTTTAAGCAATTCTGAATCCAAAGGTTTTTCAAATTAACTGAAAAATTATGTAAAAATAAAAAGAAACACTTTTTCAAGTTATGTTGTGTGTTGGATTTTCAGTTTTAGACACTTTTATCGTTATACATAATTATAATAAAAAGTTAGGACATTGCGTAGTCGTATTTCAACATTTAAAGCGTACATTAATTATTCACTGTAAAAAAAAGTTCTAAATTAGAGCTGATTTCGGTATTAAAATCGAACCAAATTACGATTTAGTACAAAAATTGGTACTAAATTAGTACCTTTCTTTTTACAGTGTTTTTTACATTACTTTTGTGAACGCATTCATTAATAAGTATTTAATTATTTTGTCAGCAAACCATAACACACTTCGAATACGATAAATGACAAATTTGTAAGTTTCGAAGTGCAAAATTTTTATTTAAATATTTTACAAATAAATAAATTGGCATAATTTTTTTCTTGAATTCGCTATTGATATTAACATATTGATATTACTTGTTACACGAATAACCTCAACTGTTTAAATGAATGGAAATATCACTTTTTAATGGCACATT